AGAAAAATATATATATGAAAAAAATATAGATAGATTGATGAAAAAATAAGAAATTTTATAAAAATAAAAATAATATTAAATTAAATACAACCAACACTAATTAAATAATAATTTTTAAAACAAAAAAGATTAATTAATTTATTTCTTGAAACTAGAAAGATTAACTTATAATTTACTCTGTTATCTTAAATGGATAAAGAAAAACAATAAAAATACCTGTTTTTAAGGATTTTTTTTTATTTAATTTTATATTGTGTGGAACATTCTATATGTAATAAAAATAATGATAATATTGATTTTACAATGAACTATTGTCTGATTAGATTTAGATTCTTATTTAATTTTTCTTATAGATGGATTAATAAATTAAATTATAGTTGTAATTGATCCTAACCGTTGTTCGAAACATAATTCTACCTGAAAGCCTTTGAGAATTTAGGAATAACATTGTCACTTGGCATTTTCAAATTTTATTTGTCATTTGGCATGACTTCCACCATGTAATCCAAATTTCCTCGGGTTTTGAAAATATCTTCGGGGTCGTCAACGCTTATTCATTTTCTTAACCTTATCCTTTTTATCTAATTTAAATTAGTTGTCCTTTAAAGTAATTCTATTTTCTAAATTACTCCTTCAATTTTGTTATTTAAGCTGAGAAATTTAGATTCCTTTACATTAAAATACCATCAATTAATTGATTGACAAATCCAATAAGAATAAGAATCTAAAACATCGAAAGCTATAGATGTAATAGACAGCATAGACTACAGAATAGGCCCGTAAAACATGTCATAGATGCATGATACAAATGAGAAGTGCCCCTTAGTTTCTTGCGAAGAGATAATTTTGATCATGCATAATCCCATTCCTGAGCATCAATGGGAATCAAAAACAGACTCCACAAATAAACGTACATTTCAGCGAAGCAGCTAATAGAATAAGTCGACAGATTTTTCTAGATAAATTAAAATATTGGAGAATCTGAATTGAGAAGTCTAACTAGAATATAAAGCCCTGCCCGAATCTCCAGAGTCCAAACCCAGATAGGTTATAGAAATAGGAAATACTCCGTGACATGCTTCATAGACTATTTTGTTGCCTTTTCTCACGATATTCACAAAAAAGAAAGAAAGATGAAACCAGTTTACATGAATTATCATTTCCTTCCTTCAACAATTAACTCATCTAAATAAAATCACTATGTTATACAACAAATTAACTAAAATATCCAAAAAATTAATAAAAATTCGTAAGATGAAAAATGTTTGCATCATAGCGAGCCAAGGGTTGATTGCACACAAATCCGCTGGCTTTCTGTGATGCAACTTTATTATAAGATCCTCTATCATCCACACAGAACATACAAGGTTCTCATTAAAGAAGAAACCTCGTACAACTTGTCTGAAGAGGACCTAGAGAAGCATTAGATGACCAAATTTCCTTAATTTCAAACCACTTTTCTGATCATTAGTTAAATAAATCTTACTGATAAAATATAGCAGCAGCACCATATCATGTTCATGGCATCCAAAACAATCCAAATCCAATTTAAGAATCAGAAGACTATCATCTCGAAAAAAAAAAAAAACATTTCTTAAGAATTTTAATTCCAATAAAAATGACATGACATGACAACACATGGAAAAAATGTAATGCCTGTGGTGTCATTTCCGTCCATTATTTAATGGATTTACCGCAAGTTTTCTGTCTTTTCTACTAATTTCAGAACAAAACGGAATAGTCGGACCAAAATTGTGTCTGCATATTTAAGACAATTATACTCTCTAGTAGGTTTGTTATGATAACACATTTAGGAAACCCCACTGGCGACAGCAAAGCTAACTGAAGCTGTTAAGAAGACACATTAAGATAGAAACAACTTTTAAAACTTCAGAGGACGTGTTTTACGCGTTAAGTAGTTTGAAACAAAGTAAAAAAGCAAGATTGAAATTATAAATTCAACGCCTAAAAAATTATGAAACGACTTCAGTGGAAATGGATAAAATAAATGTGGGAGCATCTGATCTGAATACACAAGATTTTCAAAACAAAGAATCCATGCCAGAATCTCAGCACCCAAATAAGTATTGGCAACGTACAGCACTAAAACACTATAGAAAGAGCGCATCAGAGACTCTAAATTGTTGCCTACACAGTAACAATTGACAAGAAAAATAAAGAATTTTTAAGAACACTTGTCAACAAAGCACTTAAAGAGATATTTAAAATTTCATGCACCATTAGGTTCCAATTCCAATCAGTCAAGTCCAATCATTATCATCCATTCCCACAACAAAGTTTAAATTCTAAAAAGAATTAAATGCAACCTATTTCAAAGCAAGATTAATGACCATTTTTCATTATCATCCATTCCCACATCAAAGTTTAAAATTCTAGAAAGAATTAAATGCAGCCTTTTTTCATTTCAAAGCAAGATTAATGATCATTTTACATTTAAACATTAGAAATGTAAAAATAGCCATGCTTTCAATATAAAAAACTGCATCTAAAAAATTAAGAAATCTAAAATCAACAGTGCAAAATTGGATTTAACGATGATTTAAATCTAAACAAATGTATATTAGCTGTTAATTAGCCTATCAAATAACACAGAAGAATGCACACAGACAATCAATGGCTTATGAAAACATATATAAATAAACCATCAATCATGAAAATCAATAACGTAACTGAGCTGAAAAAAAATTATCACCTAGAATACAAATCCAAATATGGGATTTGGTTTTCGTAAAAAAATAAGTGTGGGAACATCTGAATGCATAAGCTTCAAAAATAGAGAAGCGAATGCCAGAATCTCAGCACCCAAAATTGGTGTCGGCAACGTACAGCACTGAAAACGCTATTGAAAATTAAAGCACTTCAGAGACTCTAATTTGTTGCCTTTTCTTCCAAGACATCACAGAAAAATGTATTGGCAACGTACAGCACTAAAACACTATAGAAAGAGCGCATCAAAGACTCTAAATTGTTGCCTACACATTAACAATTGACAAGAAAAATAAAGAATTTTTAAGAACACTTGTCAACAAAGCACTTAAAGAGATATTTAAAATTTCACGCACTATTAGGTTTCAATTCCAATCATTCAAGTCCAATCATTATCATCCATTCCCACAACAAAGTTTAAATTCTAAAAAGAATTAAATGCAACCTATTTCAAAGCAAGATTAATAAACATTTTTCATAATCATCCATTCCCACATCAAAGTTTAAAATTCTAAAAAGAATTCAATGCAGCCTTTTTTATCATTTAACACTTAAACATTAGAAATGTACAAACAACCATGCTTTGAATATGAAAAAACTGCATCTAAAACATTAAGAAATCTAAAATCAACAGTGCAAAATTGGATTTAACGATGATTTAAATCTAAACAAAAGTTTACTAACTGTTAATTAGCCTATTAAACATCACAGACAATCAATGGCTCATGAAAACATATATAAATAAACCATCAATCATGAAAATCAATAATGTAACTGAGCTAAAAAAAATTATCACCTAGAATACAAATCCAAAGACGGGATTTGATTTTCGTAAAAAAATAAGTGTGGGAACATCTGAATGCATAAGCTTCAAAAATAGAGAAGCAAATGCCAGAATCTCAGCACCCAAAATTGGTGTCGGCAACGTACAGCACTGAAAACGCTATTGAAAATTAAAGCACTTCAGAGACTCTAATTTGTTGCCTTTTCTTCCAAAACATCACAGAAAACGATTACTCGTAATCAAACAAAACACAGAACATCTAAACAGAGGACTCAGAGACTATTAGATGGCATCAACAAGCTCAAATTTTGAGCTCTCATAGTTTGATGGTATATAATTTTCATCATCACTGCCTCTTATTAACCAATGATTTCACGGAAAAAAAGAAATAAAAACATAATTTGATGAAAAAATATATATATAAAAAAGCCTCAGAATCTATACAAGTTTTGGTAACATCAAAGATATAAAAATATCTCAGATGGTACGGACAATTTTGATGCATCACAGGCAAATTTAAATATATCAAAATGATCCACATAAATAGAGAGAGCACGAAAGAGTACAGAAAAGAGCTAACTACGAAGGCTGGCTGCAGATGGAAAGAAGGAGAGGCGAGGGTGACTAATGGGCAGAGAATTATGAGTTCCAGTGAGAAAAGCGTTTGCTGGAGATTAAATAGTGCTAAAAGGGCAGAAACCCTACTTTGCTGCTCTCTTAAATTACCTAGCTGACCCGGGCGATGTCTCGGCCCAACTCAACATTAGGGTTCGAAACTCATAACATTGTTTTGAGGCAACAAAGGTCTGGTCCAACTGGCTTTTTAAGTATTTTAGTGCGAAGTCAGTCGGGATTGAACTTTAATTTGAGAAATAATTATTAGAACTGTAATTAATAAAAATATATATTTCTTATAAAAGAATATTGTATGTAATTCAATGTATTTTTTTTCCATTTCCATTAGACGAGTTAGGGAAACAATAAGATAGCTATTCCTCATAAAATGAATTTATCAAACATGAAAATATTGCTTGGAGAATTAAAAATAACTAATTTATGGCAAGAGACTAAATATACTAGTAATATAGTGCCTGTCTAGGAAGTCAAGAAGGGACATGATGTTGGCAAAACAAATAGAATTGCAGTTTTTTTAAGGAATATGGATTTATGGATACACCAATGAGGTCCCATTTGGATTTCCCATGTAAAATATTAAAATGTTCTTTGTATTTTATTTCTTAGAATTATGATCAAAGGACCATTAATTGTAATTGAGGAGAAGAAAATGCAAATGCACATTGCATTTGGAAAACGAATTTATATAGAGATATTCATGGTTCATGTTAATTCATTTAGAAATAAAAAAAAATAAAAAAAAATTTGAGTGGTTTTAGAGAAAGAATTCGGAAGGTTTTAACATATTCCTTTAGGCATCATATCATGTGAATTATACCTATGATTAATTAAAATATTTTTCTACATAAAATGATTACATTACATCAGCAGTAGTCTTGTTCCTGAACTCCATATGGCAAAAACAACAGTTCACAATAGTGGCATAAAAAATTGGTTTCCCCTTATAGCGTCTAATAATGGAAGGAAAAAAACACACATAATAAGAAAGATTAATCAAGAAAACATGACCCAAACCAATATAGCATTGATTGACAATATTAGCAGAATATTAGGTAAATTCTAGCAGAAAATAAGCTACGGACTGTCAATTAAGCAGTGGAACAAGGGAAAATTAGCTGCACTGGAAAAAAAAAATTGCATTGAAGGGTTGAGCTCCAGCCATTACTATCACCACCATCACCCATTATTACCTGCTCTTGTGTTCAGGGCGATGAGAAAACTCGAAATCTATATGCACAAAAGCTCTCTCAACTTCAGGTAATTGCTCAAGCTTCTCTTGGAGATCTTCACCAATATTATGTGCTTGGTTCAAAACCATGTCTTCTGGCAAGACTATGTCAACCTCCACAAAGTAATGGTTACCAAAAGTATATGCCCTCACCGTGTCAATGTGCTTGATCTCTTCATGGTGATTCCATATCAGGTATGTCAGCTTTGCTAGAAATTCAGGCGGGGCAGTTCTTCCAATTAAAGACCGTACATTCTCGATAACGGTCTTCGCCCAAGTGTTGATGGTGTACAGCGCTATCTGCATATTGGGTTAAGAAATGATCAATAATTTCAAAACCAAATTCTAAATCCAAATATAAATGTAAAAAGACAAACTTAACATAAAAAAAATTAAGTAAAACAATGCGATCAAAACTATGGAAAGAGTAAAGAGAATCCAGCAACCATTAATCTTAATGAGATTCTCATTTACTATCCTACAGTGCCCCGCTAAGGGCACGGATAGGCATTGCTAGGCTCACTGACAGGTGATACAACGCTTCAGTGACTTGGTCTACCAAAAATTGCAGAGCATTTGAACATATACTAAGGTGACATGGATTTTGATCATATCTACACGATAGTTTTAGCTAAAAAAAATGAAGAAATAAATTAATAAAGTAAGAGAGAACTAGAAGTGTGGTTAAACCAGCTTGAAACACTGCAGAATAAAGAACTACAAGAATTCACAGTTTAAGGAACTTACTATTATAGCTCCGGTAGGATCAATCCACCAGTAATATCGGACTGCTAGAACGGCTGTTATCAAACCAACTGAATTTGTTATTACATCAAAGAGATGATCTTGTGCATAGGCTCTCACAATTTCATTCTTAAATCTTCGACAATAGAGCATCAGCAGAAACTTCACAACTGTGACAGAAACCATAATGGTAATCATCCATTTCTCCTGCCCCTTATCCATTTCAGGCCCTTTCTACATCAAATAAATAAAAATTATTTCATAAGACTACATAAGCGAAAGATAGAGAGAATAGTATGCCTCACAACATTGGAAATTAGGCTAGTTAAAGTATTGAATGACTGTGTTGAGTCCCCGCTAAATTCTCTCACTGAATATAGAACATAGTAGAAGGACTATTGAAGCAATATTCATGCATGGGTGAATAACGGCCCTTAGGTTAATAAACATTCGTTACATAAAGTAGCGGCCGTTTTTGCAATTATTTAGTGAATAACGGCCATTTTTTATTTTAAAATAAATTTATTAATAGCTATTAATATTTTCATAATATTGGTTGCTGTGACTAATATTTTATTAGCATGATTAGCTATGACCTACAATTGCAACGGTTTTTAAAACCACATTGCAATTTAAAATTATAATTCTTCATGAAGAAAATCTATTCAAATGTAAATCTAAAAGATCCTAGAGCTAATTGACTAAATATTAATATATAATTAACCAATCAGTTATGCTGCTCAATTCCATATGTGATGACTTCCCTAATTTGACAATCTCCCTCCCTTTCCAAGACAGAGACAGTAGTAGCAACTAAAGTGATTAAGCAAAGTTGCATCAAAACATGAACAGAGTGAGTACACTTTTCAAATTGTATGGGTATGAACTGATAAACTATCTTATGTTATTTCGAGCAGAAAAAGGTTACAAGATTTCCTCTTGCTTTTTTTTGCGAGACATCAGGTTATATAATTGTGCACAATCAAAATGCCAACTCATAACTAATCATTTCGATCTAATGTTTCTATACAACCAATGTCTTCATTCCTAATCTCATGCTCAATCCCTGAGAATTAATTGATCCACCAAATTCTTTTTCCAATGAATTATGGCCAAATTTCTCCTTAACTAACATATTAGAAAGTCTAATTAAGCTGTTATTAGCAAGTGATCTAATCTTTTCTCAAAGGTCTGCACTAGAGGATGGAAGTCAAAGGTGGAAATGAGATTAAAATCTAAGTATGAGCTGCAATCGAGCTATTTAGTTCATCCTTTTTCTCAGATGAAAAATGAGTAAATCGCAGTACCATACCTTCGCAATGAGCTGCCGGCCAGACTCAAGCAGAATTTGCAATCCCAGTGTCGCCATTATAGATGCAAAGACAACGATTCCCTGCATAATCAAGCATGATTAGCAGACGTTGAAACGAAATGGAAATCAATAATTTCATAATAGTTTGGCAGGATGTCCAGTTATAAAAAATTTGGATTCCCACTTGCTTCCATTTGGAGTGTAATGCTGATTATGCCATTCCTTTGCTCCACCTATTCGTTAATTACAAAGTCCTATGGGTACACCTTCCATGGCCCTTTATTGCTTTCTATCACTGAAAGGATTTTAATCTAGTAATTTTACGAGCAACCGATAGCACAAACATGGCTGAAGTAACAGCACATATAGTGGATATAGAATTTCACTATCCACACAATGAGAGAAGGAAAAATAGATCTCCAAATCTTGAAATGATTTTGGGAAGCAATATTAACAGAAAAAAAAAACTGAGAATGCTCTTAAAGTTTATTAGAAGATATGATGTCATGTCTGCAGTGGATCCGATTCCAAACAAATAACTGTTAAGCAGAGTGACCAAGCAAATGCACCAACTTACCACGGGCTGCATCCGTTTCTTTCCAATTGGATAGTGGAAATGGTTTGGATTTTTCATGGCATGGGAAGTGAACCACAAAATAAATCCTGACAAGAGATCCAATAGGGAGTCCAAAGTTGAAGCAATAACTGCCAAAGATTTGCTCTCAACAGAAGCATAAACTTTTGCTGCAAATAGTAGGAAGTTAGCTGCATTGGAAATATGAACTGCCAGTCGCTCACTCTTTGCCAGCTGCTTCATTTCATCCTGAAAAAAAAAAAAAAATTGCATTTAGAATATGTTAGCAAGAGAGGGGAACAGAGAAGAAAAAAGAAGATAACAGCCTACCTCTGTTGGATTTCCAGGGAAACAACCCGATTCAGTCATGTCCTCCATCTCATTATATCCTTCAAGGAGCCTTTCTTGTTTCTTGTAGTATTCTGAAACCTTGCGTTGCTTCCCTGAGGTCAAGCATTGAAGAAAGAGATGACATAAATTCTATAGACTATGTAGCACTCAGAGACTGAGCTCTCAGGCAAATGGAAGTGCCCCAATACAGAGAACTGAAAGATTAGAAGAATACTGAAGTAAATTCAAGAAGAAGTTCCTGGTAACTTATGAAATACTACTCATCTCTTATCTGTCAAAATTTATGCAACAAGAAGTCTTATGCATCTACCAAATATGGTAGACTGCTAAGATTCAATGTAAGCAACTATGAACTGAACCTGTAATTAGCTGACTGTTTAAATTACTCGGTCTTTTGGCCCCCAATGTAGAAACACATGTGCCTGGCCAAAACATCAGGCATTGATGCTTTGACCAGCCACAGTTTGGGCCATGAATGCAAGTTACTCTGGATGATGCAAAAGCACAAGAATGGTTTATCTTTATATGGAAAAAATAAACATGCAATAGAAGTTAACCGAGGCATCTATTTTCATTAATAATGCTTTTTGCACCACAATATATATTAGAGCCCTTGTTCAACCTCTATAAATAATTAGCCACCACGAACGAGGATGAAGATGTAATTCTAAGCGCTGAATGCAGAGTTAACACACTTGATTCAACGATAAAACATTGTTGATTACTTTCTCCTGCCGATTTCCAAACCAGCTAGAGGATAGAGAAACAAAAGGTTCTAAAGGCACTAAAAACTATATATTGGTGTCTTGGTGGAAGAATAGTACTGTATTCTTTTTATTCCTTTCAGTGCCCTTATAGCCTACAAGCAGATAAAATCCAAAGACCAAATCTCAACCAATGATCCTTTCTTATGTTTGGATAGGAACAATCAATGGAAGTAAAAAAAAAAAAAAAAAAAAAAAAAAAAAAAAAACTGATTATCTGCTAGCTGTGATTACACCAGCCATATAGTTCTTACAATAAAACAACCCATCACTAGCTTGCAATTAACCTAGAGATCAGCCTACAGTACCAATTAGGAGCATGATCAGAAGTCTTAGGAAACCTGATCATTTTCATTTTTATTTGAAGTTCACAAAATCTATGCCCTCAAAATCGAATTTGGGTTGGTATGTATTGCCTCACTTTTCATGTTCAAAGGAAATAAAGAAAATAGAGCAATCTATTCTAACAAATTCCGATCATGCCACACTCAAAAGAAATCAATAGTGTATTCGATAAGTTCAGATTTCGCATGCCAATAATTGTTAAGTTTACATAATTTTCAAGTTCCTCAAATTCTCAAAGGTGGCCTAATGTTCATTCAGATACGTAACAGGCAAAAAATAATAATTAATTAATTAATTAATTAAAACCAATGAAACGGCAACAGAACAAGAAAACATTTAGAGAGCAAACAATTCAATTATATGATTATTACATTAACATCTTTATCAAATTAAGGTGAGAAATGACTAAGAAAATTACTTTGCTTTAACGCATGGTACGTGGAACTACATACTCTCTTTACTTTTCCGTTTCTATAAAAGAAAAATCCCTTACAAGGGATTCCTTCTTGTCACCATCAACTTTGCAAAAAAGAATCAATGTTCAACCAGAAAAATCCAACACTTATATCTTGTGTGCTAAGTCATGGCAATTTGGCAACCCCACTAGTTAGACACAGACCAAACTTGAATAAATTCCATGAAATTAAAGGTCGCCTTTCTACTACAAAAAAATATAAATTAAAAATCAGAAGGATGTGTTCAGACAAAACCAGAAGTCCCAGATAGCAGAGAATTAAATGCAATGGACAAAGGATATTCATGGCCAAACTAATTAACACCGGAGTATATAATAGATGAAGATCACAAACACGAATGAACAAATAAATTCTTGTTGGTTTTTTATTTCGGTAATAAAATGCGGCAATTAATCTGTCCTCTAAAAAAAGTTAACTACGCACAGCCCGCAACATGTGTAAATTGAAACGTAAGAACAAATTAAGGACATTGAAACTCAAAAAGACCGTGTTAGATTTTGTTCATTAAAAAAATGCTTAAAAACTCTTAAATGTTTTTAACGACAATAACTAAAGCTGATCAAACAAGAAGTTCAAACTATAGCATAGTGCATTATAGAAAGAATCATTAAAATAACAGCCACAATATCTTTAAAAGAAGGAAAAAAAAAAACAAACAAGAAGAGAGAGTAGAGAGTGAGGAAAATGGGGAGTACTTGAAGCAGGGAGGAGACGGTACAGAGAGAAAGAAGAGACACGATGATGGCTACGATGATTATGCGTTTCTTGAGGAAGACGGAACTTATCAATATCTAATCTCCATGAGGCCGAAGGAGGAAGCAACTGAGTGTTATCATCTTCTGATATATCATTGATGCCGCCGCCACCACCTCTCTCTCTAGCCATGACTACTAGCTAGTGTCTCTGTGGTGTCTCTTCTTCACAGTTTCTTCTATCTATATATATAGTTTTATTCTGATATATTGGTAGCGATCTGTAGTACTGTGGTTTTGGAAGAACTTATGCCTTGCTTTTTAGGTTTTATAGAGTGCAATAGTAGTGTACAATAGGGAAGACCGGGTGACGTGAGGTCCTGTAACCGACTATCCCTAAAAATCTGGGTAAATACGATGCCGTGGACCAGTGGTGCAACATACGGCAAAACCTCCTTTGTTTCCTAGAAATTTCCTTCATGGACTGATATGGTGGTCCGGATATAAATTTTTAAATAAACTCATAAATATTTTAAAATTTCTCAAAGGAATGGGGTAAAGAGGCAACGTGAACTGAGCCTCAATCGTCTGCGGCCACTTTTTACTCCAATCTCTTCCTTAAAAGAAAGATTAATCTTGTAAGCATTTCTAACCCTATTCTTAACAAAATTCAACTTTAAAATTTAGTGAAATTTCAATCTTAATTATGCTATTAAATTTAAAAATGATCATTGATCAATGGAAGTAATCTATATATCCACGTCTTGTTACAATAATTGGTTGGTTGTATCGACTAGATTTCAACTCAAAATATAATTACAATCTTTCGATTTTTTTAACCCAGTGACCAGGGAAAATGAGGTTGAAATAGTTGCGATAAATAAATTAATTTAATAGACTGAATTTAGTTAATTAATTAACTACCTGTTTCATTGTAACCCATTAATTTAGCATTAAATTCATTTTTTTCTTTTCCCTTTCCCATCTTACATTATATATAGGAGCCATCCAATTAATTAACAAGAATATATATATATATATATATATATATATATATATATAGACTACTGTTCAAGGCTTGCTTTCTTTCTTTCTCGTTTTTTAAAAAAGAAAAGAAAAAGAAAAAAGAAAAAACGGAAAGGAATTTCATTCCGAGAAGAGATTCATATCGATTTGCAACACTTGCGGGCGAAAAAGGTCAAGTTCTCATCTGAGCGAGACAGAGTGAAAGAACGTAAAGCACTCACAGCATTAATACAATTTTTTTTTTTTTATGATAAGGATATATATTTTCAGGCCAATTTACCGGTCAATCAAAATTAAATTCACTAAACCTATTTACAAGTAATATTAAAGATACGCTCCCAACTTCATGTATTTTTTAAAAAAATTAATAAATTATATTACATATTGACTCTAAAATTTGAATCATGAAAATCAATGAAAAAAGCACGCCTTTTTTACTAATTTCCCAGAGAATAAATTTTATTATACTAGATGAAATTATTCTTACCAGAGTTGGATGTAATTTTCTCTTTATAATATTTCTCTCTTTGTTTTTTTTTCCCTTGTTTGTGTTTAGTTTTCTATTATAGAAAAAGTACTTACTTTACAAAGCAAAACAAACACAAGTCTCTTATTTAGATTAAACTAGCATATATCTCGCTCATTGCTACGAGGTAAGCTATACAACATTTTTATGTGTTTATTCATATAAAATATAAAATTCAAAAATAATTATTTAAAACGATCGCACGAAAAAAGTTTAAAAAAAAAACAACACACACACATATATATATCATATTGTGCTTGTAAGATTAGTTAAACGAAAAGTCTATAAAGTTGAGTAATAAAACGATCGCACGAAAAAAGTTTAAAAAAAAAACAACACACACATATATATATATATCATATTTTGTCTGTAAGATTAATTAAACGAAAAGTCTACAAAGTTGAATAATATAAAATTGCTAATTAGATATTGTTTTATATAAACATGTATTTTATGATAAATATGTATAATAATTGATAACTAAAATAATGATGTAGTAGTTTTTTAAAATTTAGATGATTAATTTTTATCATATATTCTTCATCCGTAATTTATTAATGAAATAGAGAGATTACACAAAAAAAAAAAAAAACAACTTATTGAAATCGAGAATTTGGCAAAAAATAAAATAAAATAGAGATAAAATTACACACGATAAAAATTAAATAATCAAAACAAAGTAAAGATAATAAAAGAAGGATTAAGATAAATAAAAAAATCACTAAAAGCCAAAAAAAAAATTATAAACAATAAGACTAAAAAAACTCATGATGCATAAGACGGGAATAAAAGTAAAACATTATAGAATTTTAATGACTAAAATGACAAAACAAGAACCAAAACAGAAAATGTGTTTTACTAAAAGCCAAAAAAAAAACTTAGAATATTGAAAGCTGTATTTAATTTTAGTATAAAAAGAATAATAATCAAATATAATAAAATTTCAATTATCAAAATAAAAGAAAGATCACAAAATAAAAACCAAAACGTAACAAAAAGTTTTACTAAAAGTAAAAAATAGTTCTTTGTAGGGAAAAAAATCAAATATAATAAAAATTTAATGATCAAAATAAAAGACAATTATAAAATATGGACTAAAATAAAAATAAAATGATACTGAATTCAATGACCAAAAAAAAGAAAAAAAAATCACAAAACGAGAATTATAATACGAAGAAAAATTTCACTAAAAGCTAAAAAAGAAAAGCTTAGGATAGTGAAACTTTATTTAATTTTAGTATTATAAGGATAAAAATAGAAAACGATAAAACTTTAATGACAAAAATAAAAACATATCACAAAATAAGAAAAAAAAAAGAACATTAATTTTTACTAAAAGGCAAGAAAAAAATATTTATTATAGGGACAAAAATCAAATATAATAAAATTTTAATATTTATTACAAAGATAAAAATAAAATATAATAAAATTTTAATGATCAAAATAAAATAAAAATTATAAAAAAGGGGATTAAAATAAAAACAAAGTTTGCTAAAAGCCAAAAGCAAGTGGAAGAGAAGGAAAAAAAAAAAAGAAATGAGTGTAGCAAGCAGGAGGAAAAGAAAAGGAGAAAAAATAAAAGCAGTGAACAGTTAATTTACAGTGAAATTGCTATTCGTTTTCTTTCAGTTTTATTTGTACTTTGTAATACTTACTCTATAAAAATTAAATTAGAAAAAAGAAATAATAGAGAGATTTAAAATTTCTCCCTACATATATGTGGCTCAAGTTTTTTCTACGTGGAATACACGTACAATCGTCCCATAGCAAAGTTTTATGCGTGATCTCTGACCTTTATCATACGTGGCAAAATATTATGTCTTGTCAAACAAAATAGGAAGAGAGAGAGAGAGGAAAAAAAAAAAGCTCATGCAAAGGAGGTGAAGCACAAGCTATTGGCAAGATGGTAGGCGCTAGAAGATAGGCTGGAAGATGTGATGACGCACAATATCGAATATTCGTACATTTTTAAATCCTAGCAACCTAATTAGAGATTATTAAAGAAATATGAATATCTATTACAGTTTGCAACATGGTGAAATTTCTTATGTGAACAAGAGAATAATTTTAAGCATCCTAAGATACAATAGAGAATATACATATGGATATATGCCATACTGACCTCTCTGTGTTCTGTAACACAAACAATGTCGATCCAACATCACACGAGGTTTAATTAGTCCACAACTTTTATTTTTTTCCTTTGAACAGCAGTCATCTTGATCGATCAGAAAGCATACTTAATTTTAGATTAATTTGTAGAGGATTTATCTTTCACATTAGCCTAATATCTGAGTTAAGAAAAAAATTCTTAACACTAGCTTTAATGTTGGAACTCAAAAGGTCAACAAAGAGAGAAAAGTTTCCGGAGCAGGTTTCGCGGAAGATGATTAGATTAGATATTACAAAAGATTTTGTGAAGTAATTGATTCGTTACTTTCCAGCAAAAAGAGAAAACAAATGCTACGAAAATTTTGAGAATTGTTGGTTAATTGCTATATACATGTTCATCATCTCAGGGCCTTTTGACATTTTATAATTTCTCTAATGGGTTATTGTCGGAATCAACATTGCAACTTGTAGAATAATGCACTACTCATAGGAGACGGTTTGATTCTCATTTTACCCAACACTTGAAATTAATTGCAAGTACTTAATCACCAAGAAAGAATTTAAATTAAGAAAAAACAAAAGAGCAGGAAATGATGAAGGCAATGAAGAGTAGTGAAACGAAGCACATGCGACCAAGGGAAAGAAGATTAAGGAAAAGATTAAGGCTAGTAACGCATTACTTGATGATGCATACAGGAAAGAGAACCAAGTTTGAAGACCATGATCAGTGTCTTGCCTTTCTATGCGAAAACTGTCGAGACTGAGTCGCCATGGTAATGGGTCCTTCTTTGCTTCTGATTTTGCAGACGGGAGAGCCTCTGCACTGTAATCTTTTCTAACATTCTTATTGGGATCACTCTCTCCCTCCATGTATAACTTTTTCGCCAAAAGAGAAAAATGAAATGTTGATGTCTATAACCGTGCAGATCCTACTCGTTCAAAACCGCCCAAAACTGCCTTCTTAAAGTGGGTAAAGCCCGAGTTACACGTGGCTTCTATTTATTTTATTTCTTTAAATGAAGCCCACTTCTTGTTTAATCATGGATGCGGCGTTTCGTGAGCAAGACAAGACAAGAGAGAGGACAGTCAATTTTTTGACCTGAAATTTTCATGGGTGGCTCAAACTCTTTTTATGGGATTTATCCAAAACAACGGAATATTTATGGGATGGATTAGTTTGGTTCGGCATGGATATTCCTAGCTTCCGGCGAAGGAATTAATAAAGGGTGGGGTCAACTCATTGGACCTGAGATGTATCGAACTATACAAGGCAAAGAAAACAAAAAAACGATTTTAAGGCTGAGCCTAATATTCTGAGTAAATGCCATGCTTGTTGTACTTTTAATTATGAGTTTTGAAGAGCATTTTGGTTGCAAAGTAAAATATGGATTATATATATAATGTAAGGAATGAACAAAAGTTTTCAGCAAAACTATTAGTAAAGCTACATGTTTCTTCAACAACTCTCATGTAATTTTCGATTAGGTCTCCGTGCAAAAACATTACTCATCAAATTAACCTCCACCGTTTAAAATTTGACAGAAAGGAGTTGTTTTAAGTCAAATGCGTCCTTATTTTTCAATTATCTGAACGAAAATAATTCTAAGACTAGAGTTAATCGGGTAGTGTCTGACAGATGGAGGACTTGATTGGGATTTACTTTTTGTTTGGTCATTCATTTAAGAATTGAGTGATAGTTGAGGGATGAATATGTCTTTTTCCATATAAACTAGTCAGCAATAATCTAATTAATAGGTATCAGTTAACTGGGGCAAAGTTTCATGTTGGAAGTCATTGATATTGCTATTGTCCTTGTTCTTGCCTCCTCACCTACTTTTAGCTACTGACATTTCTTCCATACTTATCGTAATTGTATTAGATAATTATAGGGAGGAAGAAACATCTTAGTTAGTATCATCCATAAGCATGGAGACAACTTGTCTGATTCAGCACTACAATTAAACATACTAAATTAATAAATAGATTAAAGGTCCAATATATTCCTTTATTGTTTTAAATATCTTAATTGTATTTTTATACTAAATTTTTTAATTTTTGTGCTCCTTTACTCTTAATTGTCTATATATTTGATCCCTACGATCATTTTTTCGGATAATGAAAATAACTTTCGATATTTTTTATTTTGTTATTTTAAAGTTATCTTTGTTGTCCGAAAAAATAATTCGAGGGATCAAATACAGATACAATTAAGAATAAAGAGATACGATAATTAAAAAATTTAATAAAGAGATACGATTAAGATATTTAAAACAATAAACGGATATATTAAACCTTTAACTCATTTATTAATGCCAGAAATGCTTGAAACATGAGGAAATCTACAAGGTCCAATAATACTATGCCCAACTAAAAGGAAAAAGAAAAAGGTAGGATATTGAAGAAAAAAGTAGGATGTTCTTATCTTTCTCGCAAAACGATTAAAAGATAATGCATTAATCAAAAAGTTACTCAACTCACTTTCCAATCGATAACATAAAATATGTTAGCGTGTTTAATTATTTTGAGTCCAGCATAAATACATCTCAAGCTATTCAAACGTGTCATTTTTGTCTGCATGCTTGCATCATATGAGTAGTGGTTACAGGAGACGCACTTGCCTAAAATTAAAGAACAAAATTAATTAAATTATACTATAATGCGTTCTGCAATCAACAAAATTAAGACTCTTGCTGAATGCGTGCTTCAAAGGTATTGCTCCCACTTTGATAATTAGTAGCAGAATCCTACTAGATTTACGCAATTATCAGGTGTTGCTTTAGCAACGTGTGCCGCACTAGATTTGGATATAGAACCAGTTATGATGGCTCTCACAAATATCCACTGCTAATAGATATTAAAAAAAAAAATCGTTCTAATAGAGATTGGAAACAGAAATACCATGGTTTGTCATTATTGTGATTGTTGTTGTTAATTGTTGAAGGTTTTACAAGAAGTTGGTATCCATCTAGACCAGAAATTAAGGAATTCATGATCATTTTATTTCTCACAATCTGATTTGACGTTTGAATCAATCCCCATGATTGAGGAGGGAGTATCCCTTTAACCATTAACCATCAGTCAGAACCATCAGATCATGTGATTGTTATTCTTAAATCGAATGTTTTGGATTTACTCCAGAAAGGAGTCTGGGTAATGATCACTAGCTCATTCTGTTAACTTAATCAAAATAAAAGTAGGCATAGAACTCTAATTAACCTGGCATGATCAGATGATCCACAACCTACACAATTTTGGTCATGGCTTTCTTCCTTTCAACCAGCTCGCTTAGGCTTGTGTTCTGGCTGATGAGTGAATTCGAAATCGATATGAACGAAAGCTCGTTCAACTTCTGGAAGTTGTTCGAGCTTCTCTTGAAGTGTCTCTCCAATATTATGCGCCTGACCAAGGTTCATGTCCTCTGGCAAGACTATATCAGCTTCCACAAAGTAGTGATTACCAAATGTGTATGCCCTAACAGTATCAATTTGCTTAATCTCTTCGTGATGGTTCCAAATTAGATACGTCAGTTTTGCTAAATATTGTGCTGGAGCTGTCCTCCCAATTAACGACCAAACATTCTCCATTACAGTACCTGCCCAGTTGCTTATTGTGTATATAGCTATCTGCATTACGATTAATGATCGTTAAATAATCAGTAGCTGCTACTTGCTGGACGAAAAAATAATTAACTCATTGGCAACACCAAGGACTTACAAGTATAGCTCCAATAGGATCAAGCCACCAGTAAAATTTGATAGCCAATACAGCTGTGGCTAGACCAGTAGCATTAGTAATGACATCAAATAAATGATCTTGAGCATATGCCCTGACAATTTCGCTTTCGAATCTGCGACAATATACCGTGAGTGCAAATTTGATTACCGTAGCTGAGGCCATGATACCTATCATCCATTTTTGTTTGGTAGGATCCCTCTCTGGCTGAGTCTGTATAAAGTAGACAACAAGTTTAGCATATGAACAATTTGGCTAATGCCTTAACAACTAATTAATCTTACTTGCTGTTTGTTTAAACCATCAAATAATCAGCACTCGGTGTTGCATACCTTTGTAATAAGCTCTCTTCCTGATTCAAACAATATTTGTAGTCCAAGAGTTGCCATTACTGATGCAAAAACCACTATCCCCTGTATACGCAAGTGGATGATATTCAAAACAATGCTTTTCATGGGCTTCCATAAAGGCCTAACATAGAATCGTCCGAATTTTTTTTTTTCTTTTCTAACGTTTATTTTCATTTTCTTATCAGGAAAAGTTCAATTTCAACTGGAAAGTGAGAAATAAATTTTAACTTCAAAATTGTTGGAAAAGTGAAAGCCTTACCACAGGTTGCATCCTCTGCTTGCCAATGGGATACTGATACTGATTCTGTTTTTTCATAGCAGAATCAGTAAACCACAGAATAAAACCTGACAAGAGATCCAAGAGGGAGTCCAAAGTTGATGCTATCACAGCCATTGATCTACTCTCAACCGAAGCATAAACTTTTGCCGCGAAAAGCACCAAGTTTGCTACATTTGATGCATATATTGCTATCTTCTCACTCTTTGCTAGCTGCTTCATTTCATTCTGTATCACCATCATAGGAAGTGTATAAGCTAACCATGCTTATTATTTTGGTTAATTTGAAACTGTTCAAGCCAATTGGTTTGGATGAGATTATTAGGCACAAAAAAAGTGTGTGCATTTATTAATTTGTCACTTCACTTGCCGTTTTCCGGCAGGTGTGTAGGATGTTGAACAATTAGGTTAAGCCAGACAACAAACCTCTGTCAAGCCCTTAGGCAAAATACCCAACTCAGTGAATGAGTCCACTTCATTGAATCCCTCAAGAAGCTCTTCCTGCTTCTTGTAATATTCTGCAATCTGCCTCTGCCTCCCTAGATGGAAAATAAATATTAGTGGTAAATTAGAGTTAGAGATCATCACAATTATCAAATACCAAATAAAAAAAGCGTTCAAGATCAGTTATTTCTTTTTCACACAACCCAAATCATTAATAGCATGACCAAAAATGAAACATTACTCAAGGTCTTAAAAAAACTTCCAATGCCAAAATTAGAATCTGTGCGCCTCTCCGGCAAGTGAAATTTATCCATGTTAAGACGCCATGATGGCACGCTTGTGACTGGTGCATCCTCGCCGGGCGGGGGAGGTGATAAAAGCTCGGTTCTATAGTCCATCGAATCGATTCGAGGACTAGTCACCATTTTTTTCGCCTTAGAAGAGTTTTTGCTTTGCAGAGAAGGTAGGATTTTCAGTTCTTAAATAGAAAGGAACACAAGAATTGCATCACTGGACAAGATAGTACATTTTATAAACATTAAAACATATCAAGCCATCTTAGTTTAAAGGATAAAAGATTGAATACGTATCGTTAGATTTAAAAAAGGAAAAGGCATGGTGAATATTCTTAGCTTAATAGTACTTGTCATAAACTGTATCAGGAAACACCTGTTTAGAAATTAAAGAGATTTTTAAAGTTACCATCGTCATCATCCATGCCGGTTAGTCTGACTTCGTTTATTATTAATTTAAGCTTTTACTGCTCCAGTATGAAAGGAATCCTGGCAGGAATGTCTTCATTTCATTCGCAGCTCATGATTTGATTACCACCCGATCCCAAAAGTATGAGAAAACAACAAACACAAGATTAAGATTAACACACATAGAACACCTAACCCACTAGCAAAGCTTTGTTATGATAGCCAAAACAACTAATCCACTTGCAAAAGGAAGTGATGATCCGTAAAGTATTCCGTTGTTTAATCAGATTGTGATAGTTGCGTACTTGATTGTTAGCTCAACCATCAGAGTAGGAGTTGCCGAAACCATGCTACTATTGATAGCGTCATGCTGGTTCACCGAAAGCATGCTCAAGATCAGTCATCAAGCATAATGTTTGTGAACCTCATGGCTAACACATTCTAAATTTCTCTTGATAATCCCTGTGTTCTGGTCCTTTTTTCTGCTGACTTTTTTCTTGAAGGGGATGAGAGTTCAGAGAATCACACGTTACTAAACACTATTGATTAAACTCATAAATGAATAGAAAATTTTATAGAAACAAATACAAGTTGCCAGACTCCCAACTTAAACGACAAAACAAACATTGCAATAAACAGAAGAACAGCTCTCTATAAGTTATACCCCCACAGATAAATATCAATCCAAGCTACCATGTTTCTACATCTCCAAGTTTATAGGTACACACTTGTCATACGATCAGCTTATTTCATATAATTCCTTCTGTGAGATTTGATTTGTTGATTCCATCATCAATTGAAGATTTCTTCAAGAAGACCCCAGAAAGTGTCCAATCATGCCTTTAACCATAATAAGTTAGTCTCAATTAAAAGATTTTCTTTCAGAATATTCATGGACGTTTGGACCTGTGCTCCAGCTGATGTGTGGCATCAAAATCCACATGGACAAAAGCTCTCTCAACTTCAGGAAGTTGTTCTAGCTTCTCTTCAAGTGTCTCTCCAATATTATGTGCTTGATCAAGAGACATGTCCTGCGGTAAGACTATATGAACCTCCACAAAGTACTGACAACCAAATGTGTATGCTCTGACAGTTTCAATGTGCTTAATCTCCTTGTGATGGTTCCAGATTAGATATGTCAGCTTAGCTAAATACTCTGGAGGAGCTGTCCTCCCTATTAACGACCAAACATTCTCCACGACCGTCTTCGCCCAGTTGCTCATCGTGTATAAAGCTATCTGCATTGCAGTTTCAATATATCAGTTGTTACTGTAATAATGCAAAAGAAGGGAGAGCATATACCAAGATTACTGAATAATTCTGAATCATGAGCTAGTACTGTCAACTTACAAGGATGGCCCCAATAGGATCAATCCACCAGTAAAACTTGATAGCTAACACTGCTGTCCCTAGACCGATGGAATTAGTCACGACATCGAAGAAGTGATCTTGAGCATATGCGCTAATGATTTCATTGTTGAATCGTCGGCAATAGACCATAAGCACAAATTTTACCACCGTGACAGAGACCATAATGCCAATCATCCATTTTTCTTTGTTAGGATCTCTTTCTGGCTGAGCCTGCATAAAGTTAATTAAAGATGACTTTAAATACTATATGATTATATAGCAGTTGTAGCATAGGTTAAAAAATATTGCAGCGGGATACCCTGATAACAAGTTCTCTTCCTGACTCGAACAATATCTGTAATCCAAGAGTTGCCATTACTGATGCAAAGATAACTATTCCCTGGGGAAAAAAAAACGAACATTAAATCAGTGAAAAAGCACAAAAAATATAAGAAGACTGAAACAATTGATAACCTAAATACACAATAGTGATTGATATAAACTCATTAGATTTGGCTGCCAGAGTGTGCACATTTATGCCATCTTCAATGACATACGTCTTGTTGAAGCTACTCAAAGCAAAGGACAGCAAATGAAGCATTGCATAATTTTAGAATGTTTCTGCCAATGATGCACCAATGCTGGAGTGTTTCGTGTAGAATTTTTCCCATGGACATTGGTTTGGTAATAAAGTACTTAAAGTTCAGGTTTTAAGGATTGGAATGTCTCATTTCGAATACCCCACTTTCAAACCACTGAAAACAACGAGCAACAAGAAATGTACAACTTTTATTTGAAGATCAGCTGAGGGAAAAAGGCCTACCACAGGTTGCATTCTTTGCTTGCCAATGGGATATCGATATCGATTTGGTTTTCTCATAGCATTAGCAGTAAACCACAGAATAAATCCTGACAATAGATCCAAGAGGGAGTCCAAGGTTGAAGCTATCACTGCCAATGATCTGCTCTCAATAGAAGCATACACTTTTGCCAGGAAAAGCACCAAGTTGGCTACGTTTGATGCATATATTGCCACTCTCTCATTCCTTGCAAGTTGTTTCATTTCATCCTGAACCAATAAAAAATTGTTTTTAAGCATAACAAAGATCAAATGATAGAGACAAATCTTCATGAGAGTCGATGAGGAACAAATTAAAAAGAGTGAAACAGAACCAAGTTGCTATAATCAAGTTGCTCTCTGCCAATGATCATGGCCCCAAAATAATTATGACCTGGGATAAACCGTGTTTCCACTCCTATAAGGCACTCGTATTTAAGGGATTGAATATATATATATATATATATATATAATAAAAGAAGAACAGGAAAAAAAAGGACATAAAGAATAAACCTCAGTTAAACTTCCAGGCAAAATGCCCAATTCAATGAATGAGTCCACTTCATTGAATCCCTCGATAAGCTTTTCCTGCCTCCTGTAATATTGTGAAATTTTCTTTTGTCTCCCTGCCAGAAGAGAAAAGAAAAATTTTAATTCATTAAGCAACCAATGTTATTAAGCATGTAGACACGGAAAATCAAAGGAAAGCTTACTTAGTGTCTTAAGAAAATATCCAAAGCCAAATTGAGAATCCATCCGTCTCTCTGGCAACTGGAACTTATCCATACTAAGTTGCCAAGACGGCTCCCTTGCCATCATGTTCGCATTCTCTGCCGCTGCAGCAGGCGATAGAAGCTCCGTTCGATAGTCTAACGAATCCGTTCGAGGACTGCTCTGTCTGCTCACCATTTTCTAGGCCAGGAATTTGCTTTGAAGTTGTTCAAGGCTTTTAAGAAGTTGTGTGCTCCAATCAGACCAAGCTCTCCTTGCTGTAAACAGAAACAAGTTATAATTAATTAAGAATCTGCTTGGAAGTGAAGCAAGAAGCATAGCCACTCCTTTATAGAGTTGACAAGAGAGTGTCCGCAGATTTTGTGAAGTGAAAGCGTGGAGAACGTTGTTTTCATAAAACTAGCCAGCTTCTGCCTATAGATTGGAGATATTTTCAAAGTAGCATCATCTCCTGCCTTCATTGGAGGCTGGAGCTGACTTTATGTATTTAATTATGAAAGGAATCTTAAGCAACGAATATGTTCCTTTCGTTCACGCCATAAAACAGAACTAAAGTCCTGCTTGGTTAAGTGGCTTTTCAACATCCATTCTCTAAGACTAGCCGACTTACGGCAAACGAAGGATTTGTTATTAATATTCATGGAATCATATTGGACTTTTCATGAAAGCCAGCAGCTAGACTGCTAGAGGTCCTGGGGGTTATTGAGCTGTGGAAGAGAATCTAATCATATCACTATACAAGTAAAACTTCTGTAGTTAGGACAATCTGCTTCCACTAATTTTCCTCTTTTATGTGTACAAATACAGATTTTCTAAGACTTTCAAGATTGTATTTTTCATAATGTTTATTTGACCATCTAGGGGCATATAAGTGATATCATACTAATCCATGATAAAAAAAAAAAAAAAAAAAAAAAAAAAGTGAGATCACAATAATTAACTCCACTAGCAAATAATTAAGTTACAAATAAATTTATCTACTGTTCAAAAACTAATATAAGTGAGATCACAATAATTAACTCCACTAGCTTTAACAAATAAATTAAATAATTTCTCTAGTTTCAAAAACTAATTAATCAGAATTGACTATACTTAATTTAATATTATTTTATTCTAAAAAGATTCTTTTTTTCTCATAAATCTTTTTATATTAAAAAAAATTAAGTTAAAAATAAATTTAAATATAAGAACTAATTTTTTGTTTTTTAAAACTAAAGTACCTACTGTTTAATTTTTGCAAAACCTAAGGAACTAATTTATAATTTATTCTTAGCTCCGCATATTACCATTTTCCCCTGTCCAAAAATCTCCGCTTCGTAGCGGGCTCTTTTTCTTTTTCTTTTTTTCTTTTTAAACAAGTGGTTTAATGGTAAATTTTCTCTTTATTTTATTGTAATTTGACAATTTCAGATATAGAGTATAAAATTATATAATTTAAACCCTAAAACATTAGAGATTGGACAAATATGATCCGAATTGTCCAATCTCCATTATGTGTAAACGTCAACTAAGTTGACTCGTTATTCGAAATACTAAAACTACGTCGTTTTGATATTTTACCGTTAATTATGTCTTTTTTAAAAAAATTAAAATATTTTTAACCTTCATAATTTTGAATTTTTTTAAAGAACCTTTTTTTTTGTTATATATATAATATTTTTTAAAAATATTTTTAACCTCCTAATTTTGAAAATTTTTAAATAAAATATTATTGTAAAAAGCATAATTAACAACACATAATTTTAGGCCTTAACAAACATTTTATAAATCAAAATGACCATAATTAAGGATTGACCCCTAATTTTATAAATTATAAAAACATTTATAATATTTTATAAAAAAAAGTTCAAAATTAGAGGATTGAAATATTTATAAAATATTTTTTATATAATTTATAAAATATTTATAAGGAAAAAAGTTTTAAAAAAAATTCAAGATTAGGAAGTTAAAAATATTTTTATTTTTTTTAATTAACAATAGGATGTTAAAATGATGCTATTTTGGCATTTCAAGTAACGATAAACTAAATTGATCATTACACATAACGAAGATTGAGCAATTTAGATTATATTTGCTCAATCTCCAATATTTTGAATTCGAACTATGCGATTTGATACTATGACACTAAAATTGCTAAATCGCAATAGAATGGTGATAAAATTTACAATTAAACCTTTAACAAGCTTTGCATAGGCTCTAAGCACTCAAGAAGAAAATGATAAATTCAACTTAACCCCAAAATTATATCCAAAATTTAATTTAATCCAAATGAAAATTTAAACGTCAACTAACTCTTATATGTTTAAAGAAGAAAGTCAACAAAACAGCTTCGGTTTTTAAAGAATAAATGAACAACTTGTACAGAATCCATTAACTAATATGGATTAAGGGATTTAATTGAGAATTTTATAATTAGAGACAAAAGGTTATCAAGGCACTCAATCGAGAATCCTTTATAGTTTGGGGAGTTATTCAAAGTTTGCCCAAAAGAAAATCAAGGTAAAGTAATGCTAAGAAAAAAGAAAAGGACAAAAATCAACCAAACAAGTTGTTTACTTACTGGTTCTAGTTAAATAGGAGTAAAGCTAACTCAAAGATAAAAGAGAGCGTTTTTTTCTTTGAGGAGAGAGAGTTATCGAAGTCGAAACCCTAAGATTCTCTCTTCACAAGCACCACTTCTCTCTGTGAATTGGAGTATTAACAAAACAAAAAAATGGTCAGTTTCTTCCGCATCAGTATCCGTAAACAGTGTTTGTGTATGTGTATGCTGTCTGCTATACTGATTGCATTGATTTCTTCTTGTATCTTCTTTAATACAGTTTTCATCAACATATGTCTGCGATTAAGGGTTGATTATTTTTTTGGAATTATTTTTGTTTAATTTCTGGCAACTAGTGTCAATTATGGGATTTTTTAATTTAGTGGTACAAATGCAATTGTATTCTGCAGTGAATTTAAAGTTACACTGAATTAGGCTTGTTAATTGGTGAGCTTAGGTTTTTGCATCCAAAAACAGTAGTTTTTCTAATGTTTTTTGGATTATCTAATATGCACCTGCCTACTCAATTTGTATTCGAGCAAAATTTTTATTTTGTTTTGTTGCCTTTACATGCACAGTCTTTGTCTTCAGTGTGAAAAAATTGGCAACCTTATTGATTGATGGTTTATAATTTGTGTCGGTTTTTTTATGTTTATTAAGCATGTATTCATTTGATGGGTTATAACTGTGTGCTTAATCATGCTGTTTTATGTTAATTATGCACGTGTGGGATTTTCTTTTTTTTAAAAAAAAAAAATCATTTTCAATGCGTGCTTATTCCCTTTTTTTTCTTTATGCTTCTTCATTGTTTCTTCTGCATTTGTTTTTTACAGCACAAGTTAAGTAGAGGCAACCGTGAGAAAGTCCAGCAATTTATGTCTATAACTGGGGCAAGGTAAACCAAAGATTAAATTTGATGTTGCTACTGTACTTGGGAATGATAGTGAGAGGATAAATTTTAAATTAAATATGACGTTCTTGGAGGACCCTTTCCCTTGCTGTTGATATACCTTCTTTTCAAAGAATACAAAATTAAATTCGATAACAGCAGCAAGAACCAACTTCCATTGGAGAAATCTTGTGTGCGTGTGTGAGTAAATTAAGAATGTTATCCAGATGCTTTGCTCTTTCTGATATTTCTATTATTCGTTGATTATCGTACCAGTATATAGAATTTAAAATTGTACTTGTTGTAAAAAAAGGGAAAATAAAAAAAAGACAGTTGCGGGACATAATATGGCCGATGACCTTTCACTAAATGTTGCATCTTATTGCTTTTTGGGATAATGATTCGTAGGTGTGATTATAATCTGCACAAGGTAGCCTTTATCCTTTTCTTTTACAGTTTGCTAAACTAAATAGTTATTTCGAAATGCAGTGAGAAGGTTGCTGCCCAGGCTTTGAAGGCCAGTGATTGGCATCTAGAAGGAGCATTTGATGTGTTCTACAGCCAGCCTCAGGCTAGAACATATACCGATTCTAGACATTTGGAAGAGCTTTACAACAGATATAAAGGTGAGCAGTTCTTATCCACCTCCTTCTCTCTCTATTTGCACTTAAATTAGAATCTTCAATAGACTACGATTTTAGAAGCATTGCTGTATGCTTATTTAAAATGTACGTTTAGTCTATGTCGTTATATTATACATATGTGCTTTATTATCAAAAGAGGTATTGATGTTAAGATAATCACAATGGAATAGGTTGCTGCTTATTATACTGATGCATTTGCCACTATTTAGACATGCAACCATATTGATAGTTTTATCTTGCGTAAGAGAATTTTTTTGTTTTATCTTTCTTTTCTATTGTATACCATATTGATAGTTCTATCTCATGTAAGACAGTTTTTTTTAATCTTCATTTTCTATTGTTTATAGAATGCAGTATTCAAAGCTAGAGACACCAACTCTCATTGTCTCAATCATCTACAATTATTACTTGCTCCATATTTTTTTTTTTTGATACTTTGTGCACATTGCGGGGGATCTAAATTGGCAGAGCAGACATAAAATAAAAATTGTTTGCAATAGATGTACAAATTGCCAATTCTTATTGGATTACAGTGCTCTCAGAAGAAAAATCATACTATTAGAATGTCAGTTATTTGCTCAATGGCAATTCTGTTTATCATTTTTCATGGAGTAACAACATTTGCATGTGACTTTGTGCACTTGAAGCACATTAAAATTTTCAATATATCATGTTTTTCGCATGTATGGATGATACATCGATTAGTGGAATAATTTTATTGTTGGAAAAGCCCTTAAAGGTTCTGTATAGCAGCCAACAACTTACCCAATTTTGTGTGAGTACAAATTTACTTGTATGTCACAAAGAGAATCTTTAAAGAACATGGTTACCCTGTTTTATATTGGTTGCTTAGAGAAAGGGTGTTTACTCATTGAATTTTGCTCAAATTCATTTTGTAGATCCTTATGTCGATATGGTACTGGTTGATGGTATCACTGTCCTTTGCAATGATCTTCAGGTACTGCTTTAACTTCCATTTATTTGTTTGATTATAAATGTTGTTATTTTGAAATACGTTTTGAGTTGCCCTATACAGATGCTTGTTACTCATGGTTCTTATCCAAATGTTTGGCATTTTATCATGTGCCTCAAATCAGTTTAAAGATTAGAAGTTGTTTCTCTTATGTTCTAAAAATAACATCTGAACCTTTCTCTTTTATCAGGTGGATCCTCAAGATATAGTTATGGTATGTATTTATTCATCTGTACTGATGTCTTGTTTTCAAGGTGCATGCGTCTGCATATATTTTTATTCACTTACATACATGTGCCGATACTGGTATTCTGTTAAATTACTTAAACCTGGAAATGTAACCTGATCGTTGAAAAAAAAAAGAAGCTTGTGAGATGGTTTTGCAAAATTGCAGTTGCATTGCATATTTGATAATGAATTAAATTATAGTTTAATTAGTCTAGAAAGTTTTATTTTCTTATGTTTATTACATATTACTGGCCTTTTTTTTTTCATATAAAAATAAAATATAGAGAGATAGAGTGGGTAGCAGGATGAACCAGCACCATTAGCTTGTAAGGCAAGGGGTTATAGTTGATTTCGATTCATCATCTTTATTGTCTCTAATTCAAAACTGAACTTGAAACCTTGGTTTCATTCTGCTTCTTTATTGTTCCAGCTATAAGAAGTCAGCGAAGAAAAAATAAAATTTAGTTGTGTCAATTCTTTGAGATATATATTTCTAGAAATTATTTCTTCTCGACACTGGTTCAAACACAACTGGCACGTTCCTAAATAACCCTTAGTCAAACATCACCATTGGCCATGAACCTCAAAAACTGATTGGATATCCTGATGGAATTTTAAAAATTTATCAGAAGATGGACAAGGTTAGTTCACTTTTTTTATCCTACTTTGTTCATGGTTCATGGCTTAGCTGTTCCTTTAAATCTCAAATAAACTGGCATTTGACGAAGGAAAGATTTGAAGAATGCCTTGTGGTTTCTTGAAACTCCTTTAGAGTATATGTTGAGCTGCCTGCCTACTCCTTTTATAGCAGTTAACAGATTAAGGAATTTATGACTGGTCTCCTACTTGGCACTTGTGAAGTTCTGAACATTAGTAGTTTTAATCTCTTTTTCCTAAGAAAATTGTTTGAGCAGTTAGTGCAATGGACTTGAACAATTAAAGTTTCTCTGCACTGGTTTTCAATGTGGAATTTTGGGATCTCTGAAGTCTAGCAATTTTAATGCTTTTCTGAAGAAGTTGCTGTTTGGATGTACAGTGATGAGGAATAATTTATTTAAGCGAGTGATAGGAATACAGAGAAGGAAGAGATAATTAGCCAGCTGCAATTGAGTGGTTCTTGTATAGTGGTCTTGTGGATGTGTTTTTGGAATGGTGGGGTGTTTTCATTAATGTGGCAGAAGATGGTAGGAGAATTTTATTCTCACATGATGCATGACATGAGAGGTGCTTCAAAATTTCTTTTCTAATTTATATCTGCTATTTTAGGTTGATGAGGAAATCTTTTGAAAAGTTTTAGGGGTCTTGTGAGAGTGACATGAACTAGCCAGTGCAAGTTGGTTGCACCTTTTCTAAATATGAATGGATTGGACCTGGGTATGGCCTAGGTGAATCGAACCAAACAGATCCATTTTAAAGATGACCCAATCTGGCTGCAGTCCTAAAAAGTGAAAGGGCTACATAGGATTTGGGATTAGGCTCAGACTGGCCCGTCATCTCTAGTTTAGAAGTTAAGCTGAATAAAAATTCTCAATTTTGATTTTAAACAAATGAAATGATAATATATGTATCTTATAAGATTGAGATGTGTACTCTTTCAAACTTTGTCACAGTTGGGAATGTAAAAGTTAGATTTTTTATCCATTTGCGTATTGGTAATTTCATTTCGTAATAAAGAGTTTCAAACCAGCAAACTTTGTCTTCTATTTGTTAACTTGACATGATGTCAACTACATATGCCAATTGGAGTAACGTAAGTTGGTAACATTGCTATGTCACTTGTAATTGCAGTTAGTTGTGTCATGGCACATGAAGGCTGCCACCATGTGTGAATTCTCCAAGCAGGAATTCATTGGTGGATTACAAGCACTGGGGTTAGTGTATAAATATTTTTTGTGTATCCTGCTGTTTTTTTCACATTGAACAAATATAAGTCAATAGTTTGGAATTATTTTTATGTGAACCTAGTTTAAGTTGTATGTTATTGGCAGGATAGATTCTCTTGATAAGTTTCGTGAAAGAATACCATATATGCGCTCTGAGCTGATGGATGAACGTAAGTGCAACTTCATAAGCTATTAAGAACTTCTCCAGATAATTTATGATTTTAAAGTTTCATTGCAGGGTTAGTTGGATAAATTGTATTGTTGATCTCAAATCTGTGTGCATGCGTACACACACGAACACTAGATATACATGTATTTAAATCTTTAAAATGAATTATTTATTTGGTTTTATCACTGAAACGACTTTTCCTCTGATTGTCCAGAGAAGTTTCGTGAAATATACAACTTTGCTTTTGGCTGGGCAAAAGAAAAGGTACACGCTGTTGTATATAAAGCATGCACCTGGGTTTGTGCTTGCTGATAGCTTTTAATTTTTGCATCTGGCATATTCGATACTTTAGATAAATTACCATTGATGTTGAAAATTTGTGTCCAGCAATTTGATTGGCTGCCTGTCTGTGGCATAAAAAAAGCCAGTTCTCAAATTTAATGAATAAAGCACTTTACTAGAGTTAATATGTGAGCAAAACTTGATATTTATGAAACCGTCAATGACATTCATGTCATACCTCCAGAAATCTGTTTTTCTTATCACAAAGCCAGTTTCTGTGAACATTTGTCTTGATGGATGTTTCCCTGTCTAGAATTGAACAAGTCTGCAGTTACATGCATGCATACATGATTTAGAGTGTAACAAGCTTCTGGGATAGCACAAAATATATTTAGCACTTCCTAAGTGGTTGTGTGGTCAGACCTGACATTGGAGTATAATGTCCAATGATTTTTCAGTACATTAGGTCTGCCCATGTTATACTGACTCTGATGTTTTTTTGTTGATTTCAGGGTCAAAAATCGTTGGCATTGGATACAGCAATCGGTATGTGGCAACTGATGTTTGCTGAAAAACAGTGGCCTTTGGTGGATCACTGGTGCCAGTTCTTACAGGTAGCTTTTAAATACATATGATGGTTTATCGTTTCAAAGTTACTGAGAGTTTGAGGTTTTGACCAATCATGTTTGTATCCACTATGGTTTTATTTCTAGTCTTATTGATAAGAGTGTGCTTCTGTGCTGTTAACCAGGTTTGGTTGGATGGATATTGTGAACTTGATAAGCTTGCCTTTTCATTTGTTTGTTATTTTTAAATTTTTTGGCTTATTCTTATTATTTTCTTCCATCAATGTTCTCAGGCTCGGCATAATAAAGCAATCTCCAGGGACACTTGGTCTCAACTATTGGAATTTGCCAGGGTAAGATAAAGCATTATGCTTGCTGAAGTTACATGCTTGTTTCAACTACTATTTGCTTACATCCTCGTAGCTAGTATGGTGTGCCATATAGAGCTACTAAAAGGAAATGGCAGAGAGAAGTTATTTTCTTCTGTTCGTAGCTTTAGGTAATTAGATGTTGTATTGACGAAGTCATTAATTGGAGTATGGAAAAATGATTTGGCTTCAACGCTTACAGAATTGAGGACAATGATTAATGGCCTCAACTGGCTTAAATTCGTAACTTGGTTGATTTTCTTTTATAGCTCAGTGAGAGATGTAGAACTCGATTTGACTAGCCTTAGTTTCAAATTAGTAAACATAAATGCTTTGGAGTAATGAATGTCCTCTTTTCTCCCTTCCCCTCTTTGTTGAATCACTTTTCTGATCTTGGATCAGGAGGTGTGGGTGGGTTACCAAAATTCATGAGTGTTGAAACCCTGCAAACATTTGAAAAGCTGTGCAAGATTGCTATTCATCCACCATTTGTACGTCCCATTGACACTGCCTAGATGCAGTGGATTGCTTGTCCTGAGTGAACCTTGTGGATCATACCTTTTTGTGTTTAGCTGGCATGTAGAAGATGCACAATAGCTAAGTTCTTTTGTGGCTGCCCTCTAGGGAATGGATTACATATTCTGTTTTCTCAATCAAACTTTTTTCCCTATAGGTGGTAAGTTGTTAGATAAATTAAATTTTGTTGATTTTTTAGTTCATTGAAATTCTGGAATTACAAAGAATGAATTTAGTTGAGACCTTATTCTTGGTTTTCATCTTAAAGTTTATTGTTGTCACAGTAAAGTAGGAAACAAAAAGTGACCATAATTACAGACAGGGGGAGTTTTACCTTTATTATCTAATAAAAAATTCGGGAATGAAAATATTCCATATTTTTTCATGTCTGTAAGATCGTATTGTGGGGGGCTGGTATTGCAGGACTGAATCTGTTGTCAACGTGAATGCTAATCTTTTAGAATGGTTTTCTTTTCGAAATGCAGACAGTAGACCCAACATTATCAAATTACGATGCTGAAGGTGCATGGCCATATCTGATTGATGAATTTGTTGAATATTTGAATGAGAATGGCATAATGCAAAAAGGTCAGTCCACTGATTGGAGCCAAAAACGGTGATGGACTACAAGAATCTTCTAATGTAGGATTTTTGGATTTCTGTCTTATATTCTGTCATTGTGCTTAACATTTTTTCTTTCCACAAGACCAAAAATGAAAGGAAAAGAAAATTACACTGATGACCAAATCTGGCAATCCGCACGCGAATTTTCAATTGATGGGATTTTCTGTGTTGGATCCATTTCCTGTGAGAGTTGACTACGTTGTTGAAAATCCTCAAAAAAATAAAAATAAATTAAATTAAAAAAGTATTGTTGGTTTGTAAAGCATATCTCACCAGTGTTTTCTTTATTTTGATTTGGTAATGCCACATCCATGCTGAAAGTGGTACGTTGCAGAGTGTCTCTTGGTTGTTCCTCCTTCAGGAGATTGCTGGGGAATAAAGTTAATTTCTTTTGTTTTGTTGTGTCTTTATGTTGCTACTGTTATGCGTTATGTCAAAAGAAAAAAATAGAAGTATTTATATCTTGATGCAATCCTTTGTGCCATAATTTACAGTCACAAGTTTAGCCTGTCACCGTATTTCTCTCTTTTGTAATGTGAAAAAGAACTATTAACGTGTTAATGTAATAAGTGGATTTGATTTCCACGTTATTCGATTCTGAGTGTGAATTTGAGAAGGGCCTTGAGAAAGAAATTTCTCTACCCATCTGATGGGGACGTACAGAAACTTGAAAATTCGAAAACACAAAATTTCTGTGCTTTTGTTTTTCAAAAGACTTTAAAACATCGTCAAACTCGTTGTAATTTTTTTTCGAAATTAAACAGTTTTTATTTAAAAAAAAACTGTATTAGTGGTTGATGACTCTGTTTCTAAATACTTGAAAACAGATGTAGAATATGAAAAACGTAAACAATGTGGAATCGCTTATCTTTTTTTTCTTTTTCTTTTTTCTCAGAAGTTAGCCTTATGCAGGAGTAAGTTATAACTAGTCTTTGTAGGTCAAAGAAAATAATATTTTAGTTCTTTTTTTCTCACATTATATATTCAATTTTACAGTTTTAAATTTATTTACTTCGTTTTTTTTTTTTGTCATTTTATTCCTTTTTATAAATTTTTTTTAAAAGCAAAGAGCACAAGAAACGTAGGTAAGAGAAGAAAATCTGACTAGAAAAGAAAGCATTTTTTGATTTATAAAGTTATCAAAATAATAATGGTCAATCCCTGTTACGTGACTACTTAATTGTTTCTGATACTATAGGGACCATTTAATTAGATGTGATAGAATATAGGGACCAGGTTACATTAAACTCCTTTGTGCATGGACAAATGGTATTACAATTACAGTAAAACTAAAGCAGGTTGTTAAATGGAACAGTAAAATATTGTTTCTGTGACTTTTCACTTTCTAACATTTTACCGTGGGCATGGCATTTTTATAATTTTAAGGTTTTAAAGTCATTTTGTACAAAAATAAAATAAAATAAAAATTGATTAAATTGTACCTTCATTCTTAATTTTTTTTTTATCACTTTTGTTTTGAAATAAATTTTATTTGTATTGCAGTTTGGTTTAAGACTCTTAGAGTATAAAGAAATGAAGAGAGAGGAGAAAGGAGAGAGATGGACTGTGAGATCCACTCGGCCATTTTAACATCAAACTAACCTTTAATTTTTCCATCTTGGAAAGAAAAAATTATTTGTAACGGGCACAAGCTATGAAATAGTAAGACTCGGATTGATCAAAATTTGAAGATATTTTGAGTTTGAATTGAATTTTTGTATATATTAAAATCAGCTTATGAGGTTGTAAACGAGTTTATTGACCTTATTTATGTAATTTTGAGGTGTTTTTGGCTGAAAACAATGCTGAATTTGGATTTCGAAATCCAAAAATTACAAATATAACTTTTTAACAACTTTTTCAAAAAATTTGAGTTCACCAAAAATTACAAACGGACGACACGTCGTCTCTTGTGAAGCAGTGGACGGTGTATTGCTCATTTTATTTATTTCTTTCTTTCCTTAATTGGCCTCGCTTAGGTCTTATAACCACCCCAAACCTTAAACATATTTATGCATCCATATATGTGATTATTTTATCTAAGCATGTGAAATTTTTACTTTGTGTTTGCATGAAAACTTGTGTTTATACTTGCATTGATATCATGTATTGTGTTCGCATAAGTAAGTATTAAGCTTTGCCAATTTAATTGTTAAATGTTAAACATGTGTGAGTAACCTAGGGACTTAATTGCAATAACTTAAAGATTTACTTAAAACAATTAAAAGTTTAGGTACCGAATTGAATCAAAAGGTAAAATTGAGTGATTATTATGTAAACTTAGAAAGCCTAGGAATAAGGACTTAGTTGTAACAATTAAAATTTTTAGATACCAAAGTTTAGGGACTTAATTGAATTAAGTAGTAAAGTTAAGTGATGAAAGTGTAAAGTGAACCAACTTAGAAGACTTAAATAACTCGGTTAGGTTGAATGAATTATGCTTGAGTTGGGCATGAATTAACATCAAAATAAAATATTAATAATGTTGTAAGTAAACGAGAACTTAGGAAACTTCATGGAAATTATATGGTAAGTGAACTTAGGAAATTTTATGGAAATTACCTAGAATTCTAAAAAGGTTAACTAGGTTAAGTAATTAAGGATGACCATGCATCTATCTTTTTAAGTGGCAAAATCTTAACTTATTTCATTGATTGAATTCGGCCAAAGCGAGGAAAGAAATGAGAAAAATATCCAAGCTAACTTAGTAACATTTTAGTCTTAATAAATTTAGAATAATTTGGATAAAGATCTTAGCTTAAATAATTTATACAAGTGACAATCTTATAAGCTTACTTGCAAGATTAATTCGGCCAAGAAAGGGGAAATATCAAGAAGAAAACTCTAGCTCAATCAAGCAAAGAAATTTCTAGGAAGCTTACCCAAATTAATTACTTAATGCAAGCAAATTTCTAAACTTCCATGAAGCTTCCTTAGGTCAACAAAATGGGTATAAACAGGGGGAGGAAGAACTAAGTTAGGTTTGGCAAAAAATTAGACAAGTTAAACACCAAAATATAGGAAGCAAAATTGATTTGGTTATGAATAACCAAAAGTGACCGAAAGGTAAGAGTAAGGAGAAGTTGCCCGAAAAGTTGGAGAAGGAATTGAGCAAGCTTGGCCAAAACTTTGCAAAGAAGAAGGTGAGATCTTTTTAGCAATTCAAGAGTTATCGATACTAACTAAACTTCATTTAAGTGTAATCAACCTCAACTACATTGCAAGACATGTGAATTATAAGAATTAGTATGTTTACATGCTTAATTAGTGGTTGATTGTGTGCGATGGTTTGATTGTTGGTTGAATTAATGATGGATCATTGAATATGTTGTATTAAATTCATGATTGATTATGAGTTTAATTGTTGATCAAAAGATGAAATTAGCTTGAAGCCTGGATTAAAGGTCTTAAAGATATTGAATTCATGAAGTTAATGAATGATTACATATAGTGGAAATTGTTGATAACATTCGGCAAACTAACAATTTGAAATGAATTGATGTAATCTTCATATGTTTATTGGAAATCATGTTAGTTTTAATTTATGTAATTCTTTGGAGATGTGTTCTTTGATGTTTGCTTATATAATATGATTATGTAATTGATTTTTAAGTTGGTATTTGATGATACATGGTTAATTGATATTTGTATTCACATCGATAATCATTCAACCAAGATCCATGTGCAAGGAATCATGGATTCTTTGGTGTTCAATTGTTGGTTCTTGATTGTATGTTATATATTTACTTGAGATCTTGCATTCTATTTGCATTCACATCACGAAAATATTTTTATCATATTTTCATGCATATAAAGAAAAAGAAATGTGCATGTTTTCATGGAAATGGATGTTTATGGAAAGCTTGACAATGACTCTACTAATACCATATGGCTATTGGTGGAGAAATTGATAATGGTCTCACTAATACTATATACTCACAGGATTGTCACAGGCTTATAAGGGGAATGATCACCCCTTTATAAGGACCATGATTCGTAAATGTATTAACAAAGGAATTGATTATGGCTCCATCAATATCGGACGGTCTTTAGATGATTTTTCATGAATGGTTTTTATAGAGGGCTGAATATATATACATTTAGCAAGGTGCGTCCAATCGTAAAAAATATTTCTAAAGTCATGAAAAATATATTTTCTATGCATCATGCATGCATAATTACACTTACCGATTGTTAGCTCACTAGTTGTTTTTTTTGTGATGTAGGTGAATCAATGATGTGTGAGGACTTGATGTGAAGTTGCTCATGATGTCGAAAGAAATGAAGCTTGCCAAATTTGCACTCTAGCTATAGTTTAAAAGTAGCAGGTTTAAAACCTTTTATATCTTTTATGTTTGGCACTCTTTGTTAACCTAGTATGTTAATAAATAAAAAAAATAGTTTTGAGATGTTTATAAATTAATTTAATGGTTTGACATATTTAATTACATGGTGAAGTTAAATAACTTAATTAAAATGGTTCATAATAATTTAATAAAATGGTCAAACAAGAAATGAGTTCTAAATTTTAATAAAATAGTTTTCTATTATAATGTTTAAAATGGTTTCAATGGCCATAGATGATATTCGACTTAAATTAGTTTTCATAATAAGAATAATATTAAATGAACTGGTTTAGTTTTTCAAATTAAATAGTCTTCTCGTTGTGTAATGTTTTTCAAATAAATTTGTAATTAGAGTTAATGATATGAGACTTAGTGTCTCACAATCATTGCATTTTGAGTGTAAGGTATTGTCGATAACATTCTCGACCTAATTTAGCTCCTTGGTCGGGGGTGTTATAGGCTTTGTTCTCGAAGCCTAGACGTGGAGGCGTACACCCCAACTTAACTCTATCTTTTTATTTTCTTTTTCAATTTTTCAATAATTTATTTATTTTTATTTTGGATTTTGTTGAAGAAGATTATAGAAGATCAATCATGATTTTTTGGATTTCACACGTAACTTATGATAATATATATATATATATATATATATATATATATATATATATATATATATATATATATATGTGATATATTTTTATATTTTAAAATGAACATATATTTTAGATTATATTATTCTTAATTTTTTTTTTTTTTGAGATTCTCATTCAATTATTTTTATTTTATTTATGAAAAATATGATTTATTTTTCTCTATATATGAATTTTTGACTAAAATTTTAGAATATTATTTTTTTCTCTCGTTTTCTTTTTAAAATACTATTTTAACCTTCCTCTAATTTACATGATAGATTTTTTGAATTTTTAAATGATATATATATATAAAGTGATTTTTAAATAATTATTTAGTCTCATATTTTTAGAAAAAAATAGTTTACAAGATAATTTTTTAATTAAGAATCCGGATGAAGAAGAACAAATCATGTTTTTTTAGTAGAAATTTATGATAAGCATATTGAATAATATAAAATCTTGATAAAAAATCATAAAATTAGATTTTTTTTACTTTTAATTTGATATATTTTAATTAAATTATAGTATAATATGATATATCAAATTGAAATGATTTTCTTAAATAATTTTATATGTTTTTCCCGACAATTAGTTGGTATCTGGTAAAAGTTTTCATCAAAATTATCGGCCTGGGCCGTCGACTCTGAACCTAAAATCCTTAACAGTCATCGGCCCCGTGGGCATGGTAGCCCCAATTTAGACCGGGCCAGATTCTTAATTAATACCCCAATGACTAAGCCGGATTTTCTATGACCCTCGGAAAGTCGGTGAAAAACCCGACCTGGTTTTAAAGCCGAAAAATATAACCTACCGTTGAAAGTCTTGAAAACGCAGCACAAATTTTTGAGAAAATCATATTCCCCAACTTGTGTATCCAATCAATTTTATCTCCCAGCCAACTTGTCTGGGGCTTTTATCTACTGCTCGATTCCCTCACTCTTCCAACCTTCAGGTACGCGATTTCCTTCTCAATTTTTGATTTAGCAGTAAAAGTGGAGTCATGGACATAGACAAGTCAGTAGTTACAATGGAAGCGGAGCAAAGCAATGGTAGTGGCGGAGGCTTATTTGTTCCTAAAAAGGAGAAACTCGAATTTCGACCTCCTGAAAGAAAATCACTTTTAGGTAATAAATTTATTTTATTTATTTATATTATAAATAGAAAAAATGAAAATTGGTGCTATTATTTGTTTGTTTGGCAAAAATTAACAATGAAGAGTTGATTAAATTAGGTTTAGATGCACTTGCGATTGCAAAACGAGGAGGATCTGATGCAAATGGAGGATTTAAGGTTCCAAAGGAAAGAGTTACAACTTCTGTTATGGCGTCGATTGGTGAAGAGGAAGAGACTGAATCTTCTGGACTAGATGAAGTAGGAAATGACGTTGGAAGTGAGAGTGGTGCACGCAGAAATGTAAATAGGCGGTATCGCGAAACCTCTGCGAGCGAGAGTATGACTTCCCTTCTCTTCGAGATGTTCTATTTTATGTACTTATTTATTGAACTTTTATGTTTTTCTCTCTGATTTTTTTTTTTTGTTGTTGTTTCTAACTGCTTTTGAATTATGCATTTCAGAAAGTGTTGTGACTCGAGAGGGATCGGTTAGTGAAACGAAACGGACTCCTCGTTCTAGAGAAAATTTGTCTTTAGATGTAAGTTAATCTTGGGTTAGGAATGCATTTCCAAGAAAGCAATTTGTTCAGTTCAGATTTTGTGAGTAAAAGTAAAGAAATCGTAAAGGGAAATAAGAAAGAAGTTTTTGTCTATTAATATTGTGATATTTCATTGATGCAATGAAACTGCCCTTGAATTCTATTGAGACAAAATGTAACTTCTGAGGTTAATTATGTTAACATCTCTATATAGAACTGGATATGTTGCTCAACCTACTACGGAGCTTTTTACTTCTTGCTTCCATAGCATTCAAGTTTTGACTATGTGGTCTATTTATAGGTGCTTTGATTAAACGGTTCTACCAATAAGGTTCTGCTATAATAGTATTACTGCCACTATTTTCTCTTCCATGTGCTTACTTGGCTCTTTTTGATCAATGTTCTCCCACAAATATAGTTTAATGAAAGTCAGGGACTGGGGTTGAACGGGATTTTGCCTTGATTTATTGTGCCTTTTCATTATACAGCTCTTTGTTATTAGCAATTATTTTGACGAGATTTTTTAGCTTATAAGTGTACATATTTTATATGGTCTTAAATTTTGCTATGTTTTTTAATTGTAGGATCGTGCTGCTTATACTGGAAGTTCTGGGAGTGTTCGGTCCAGGAGTCCTAGGAGTGAGAGAGATGATCGGGGTAGGGATAGAAGAGGCCTTAAGGATGATGCTAGGGATGAAAGCAGGAGGGGGAGAGACAGGCACAGCAGCGATCGTGAAGAGCGGTACCATGGAAGGGAAGCACGGGGATGGTATGAACAAGAGTATGATGGAGACTATGGAAGAAAACGAAGTCGGCATGAAGGATCAAGGAGGACACCGGGTCTGTAGTTCTTGTTGTTGCTTTTATCCAATGTCTTTCCACTTTACAAACCCACAAAAAAAAAAAAAAAAAAAAAAAAAAAAAAAAAAAGATAATGAGATAAAACAACATGATACATGGTACAAACTATCTAAGACTCTATAACCGTCCTCCTCTAATATTTCCCTGCCTTACATAAAATCAATGAGGATCTCTCAGAACTCTGTTTCCAAGATCAACATTTTGACATGTTTGAGAAGTTCCATATACCAGTTTGTTGGATTGTCAACTGACTTGTCTTAGTTATGCGAACTTTAACTGTTTATTTTGAAGAATAACGATATTCCATTGTTGATCTATCTTCTTACCCCGTCTCCCATATTCTTCTTCCCCACAAAGAGGATTAAGGTGAAAAACCAGAACAAGCATGGTTCTGTAGTTTGGAACTGCATCTTGTGCATCACTGTAATGTGGATCTTTTTGTTTTCCCTCTTTTTTTGGGGGGCTTGCTTTTAGAAGACTGCCATTGGGAGTTTGCTCATTCTAATGAAAAAAACATGGATCTTGCAGGCAGGTCTGATTGGGATGATGGAAGATGGGAATGGGAAGAATCACCTCGGCGGGACAGTTACTCTACTACTGGCCGGCGCCACCAACCTTCCCCATCGCCAATGTTTGTTGGTGCCTCACCTGATGCACGATTAGTTTCCCCATGGATGGGTGGCCAAACACCCCGCACTAGTGGTACGTTAAGAGCGAGTAATCTCTTGGAATTTGGCTTGTTTTAGATGGTGCCACTGGTTCTGATTTCTTTCTTGGGCACATTTACTGTTGAAATATGCAGGTTCCGCTGCTTCTCCCTGGGATCACATTTCTCCCTCACCAGTTCCAATACGTGCTTCTGGATCTTCAATTAGGTCTTCCACTTCTAAACATGGTGGGAGGTCCCATCAACTTACTTTCTCCACCACAAGTGCACCATCATTTGAGGTATTATTAATTATTTGACACCAAACACTTTTTTTTTCCCTTAATAGTTTCTATAAAAGCAGTTGTGTCTGTCAGATTCGGTTGTAAAGAAAATATTTTGTCTTTCTCACTGTAAGGTGGGTTATGATTGTACTCTGCCTCATTTGGTCACTTGTGTGATTCTAATTATTGAAATCATCATTATAATTTCACTTTATATCTGCAGGATAGTGAAGGAGATAACTCTTATTCATCTGAAGAGCACAATCATGAGATTACTGAAAGCATGCATCAAGAGATGGAATACAATTCGGACAGAGCCTGGTAATTTGTTTTCTGGTATTCATATGAGATTGCAAATACTCCTAGTTTTCATCATTGGTGGGATTAAAATTTGTGGTTTCTTAATTCATAAGCTTTATGAGGATGACTGAGTTGCATCGACTTCCTGGAAGAACCTTAAACTGCACAAATCTGAAAATGTCATTTTGTTTCATTGGTTGTGCTTATGTACCCTTCTTCTTTGGCTTTACATGTTACACAGGCTTTTTAAGTTTCATTAGCAAATTCAACTATTTGACCTTGATTACTATGTGATGGTTCTTCTGATGAATGTTCTTTTGATTGCTGATCCTTCTTTGCTCAATGATTCCTTCAAGTATATCCATTATGTTTTTCTTCTTCTTCTAAATGGAGTTTCAATATAGGTATGATAGAGAAGAAGGCAATACAATGTTCGATGCTGATACCTCATCATTCTTCCTTGGGGATGATGCCTCATTCCAGAAAAAGGAGGCAGAGTTGGCCAAAAGACTGGTATGCTCAAAATGCCTGAATACCTTATCTTCTTCCTTTTCTTTCTCTCTCTCTCTTTTTTTCCTTCTCTCCTCTCTTTTCCTTTTTTGTTTCTCTTTGTGTGGCAATTTTTTTCTTTTTAAAGCAAGCGTGTCATTTTATTGAGGTTGTTGATCGTATCATATATAATGTACGTGCTGGATACCCAATGTTGGTTGACTTTTAATTTTTCAAAGTCACCCATATAGTTTTCAAAAGATTCCAATCAACCCCCTATTGTTGAAAAGCTCAAGAAAGCTTATAGAATTTTCACTTTTTTCAGCTTTTTCATATCTTTCTAATGTTCTCAGCATAATAAGATCCCCAAAAAAGATTGTTAAAATCCAAAAAAGAGCCATTAACTTCCTAAGCTATTTAATGGTGGGTTCGTATTGAAATTCTCAAAAACTTTAGGATTGACATTGAGAAATTATAAATTGTAGGAATAGAATCCTGTCTAAATATACAGTAACTAAAATATAGTTCGTTCTTACTAGATTGATTATAAATATCAAAATGGTGGCAGCTTCTGCTGGTGCTTCACTGTAGTTTGCAACAAATAAATCATTAGTGGTCTAATAATGAAATTTAAATTATAGCATCTATAGATGGCACAATATTTCACTGCAATCCTTATCTTCAAAATTTATCAATATCAACTTTATGTTTCACCAACTTATCTTTCCTATTCAAAGTCGTAGACATGAAGATCACATATTACCTTTTTTAATGATTTATTCATATGCCACAATATTTTGAATATGAGACATTACAATGCTCATAATATCGCGTGGCAACCTTTTAGCAGTTTGTATATGTTTCTAAACAACTAAGGAAACCAAGTAATGCAACTTGACACAGTACTATCAATGAGACATGCTTTTGTAGTTTCAGTCGTTAAAAGTCTTATTTACGATAATTTCATGTCTGGAGCAAGACCTAGAAAAGAAATCTGGTACCACGCTATGCTGTTTAGTTTTTAGTTACTTTAGAAGTCTGAAAAGTTCATTAATGTGATCATATTTCGTTCAAGACCTCCACAAGTTGCCATGTGCTCATGTTCTGGATAACTAGTGGCTCTGTTATATATATAGCATTCGATCAGCAGGGAACTGAGCCAAACAGGACTTGACACACTGATATATGTTGCAGCTGTTTATGTTAAATTCAGTTGCTTAATCCCTTGCTTTCATATTTTTCTAGTATATGAAAGATTTTTTAGTTAGTCACACTGCTTCCTAACTGTGGCATCTGTTAAACAGGTTCGAAGAGATGGAACTAAAATGTCACTTGCTCAAAGCAAAAAGTTATCTCAGCTTAGTGCTGATAATGCCCAATGGGAGGATCGGCAACTTATGAGATCTGGGACAGTGAGAGGTACCGAAGTGCAGACCGAGTTTGATGATGAGGAAGAGCACAAGGTTATTCTTCTTGTACATGGTAAGAAAATGTTATGATCCTATTTGTCATGCTTAATTTGTGCCAATATATATATGTGTGTGTGTGTGTGTGTGTGTGTGTGTGTGTGTGTGACCACTATTTCCTCTCGCTAAAATTGTCATCATCTTGTGTTTCTATTAGACACAAAGCCTCCTTTCCTGGATGGAAGAGTTGTTTTTACAAAACAAGCGGAGCCAATAATGCCCTTAAAAGATCCCACCTCAGATATGGCGATTATTTCAAGGAAGGGATCTGCTCTGGTCAGAGAAACTCATGAGAAGCAAAGCATGAATAAATCACGCCAGCGGTTTTGGGAGCTTGCAGGCTCAAAACTCGGAGATATTCTGGGTGTAGAGAAAACTGCTGAACAGGTGTGATACTGTCATATCACAATGATACGATTTTAAGACTTTCCTTATTCTGAAAATAATGGTCATTCACTCTTTGTTTTAACCACAGATTGATGCCGATACTGCAGCTGTGGGCGAGGAAGGTGAGATTGATTTTAAGGAAGATGCAAAATTTGCACAGCATATGAAGAAGGGGGAAGCTGTAAGTGATTTTGCAATGTCAAAAACCCTCGCAGAGCAGCGGCAATATCTACCCATATATTCAGTGCGAGATGAGTTGTTGCAGGTTTGACATTTCTCCATAAGCTATCTTATCCTTACAGACAATGATAAGTCAACCACTTTGATTCCTCATCGTTCAAGTGTTGAAAAGAATGTGTTTACTGCTTGTTTTGGTCATCTATTCCTATTGCCTTTTTATTCTTTGGAAAGAGGGGCCATGGGGTTCTTTTTGTTCAGAGGGTTTGAGGGATAAGTTGATCCATTTGGAAGATCAAATAATGTAAGTCGATGATTTGATCATATCTATGAGGGAAAGAATGCAGAATGTTTCTGTTAAAATATTTCCCATTTCCTTCCTTATTTTTGTTATTGTGCTTTTTCCATGACACTATGCTTGGAACGTTCTTCAGCATGGCATTGTGGTTGTGCTTATGCCCATGAGTTGTAGCTGAATTGTTGTGTTATCATACCTATCTCCTATTGGGTTTGGATTTTGCTTTCTACTTGTAAAAGAAAAAAAGAAGACGACTGTAATGATTGATCATCTTCACTGATTTATATTTTCTGCATTTTAATACACCACACCACATTCATTCTGTAGTTTCTCCTTCATACTGTTGGTGCGCACTGCACAAAGTACTTTGTTAAAGCTTCTGTTTGGCCCTTTTTATCTCATTATCTTACACGTGCTTTGGGCAGGTCATTCGCGAAAATCAGGTGATAGTTGTTGTTGGAGAAACTGGTTCAGGAAAGACGACTCAGCTGACACAGGTTCCTCCTTGCTTTATGTTTTCCTTCTTTCTTCATTCAAAGTTTTTTGTGGTTTATAAGAACGTATATCTACATACGTCAGTAACTGGAATCTGACTTGTTGATTTTTTTTTTTTTTTAATAGTACCTCCATGAAGATGGGTATACAACAAATGGGATTGTTGGTTGCACCCAACCAAGGCGTGTTGCAGCCATGAGTGTTGCAAAAAGAGTTAGCGAAGAGATGGACACTGAATTGGGGGATAAAGTTGGTTATGCCATTCGTTTTGAGGATGTGACTGGGCCAAATACGATAATTAAGGTAAGTAATTTGTTAGTTGTTTTAATAAACATGTTTAATGATGGTTTCTGAAATTGCCACCTGTAATGATCCTTTGGATATTTTTCGTTGGAAAAAGTATTATGAAATATAACTGAAAGAAGGAATAATGGATGTTCATGGGAAGTAATGTAGAAGCACCAAGTGTTATTTTGAATAGGGAAAAAAAAAATCAGTAAAAGAAAACGCTGAAAATGATCGAGGCAATTCAGTACTGACAACAAAGAGAGGAGCTTCCTGAGAAACTTAATGTGTATAAAACTATTAAATGGCAGATATATGCACTTCACCTTGTACTTCATTTGTATAAGATTTATAACATCCTAAAATTTTTCTTCTACATTTTGCAGTACATGACTGATGGAGTACTCTTGCGTGAGACACTGAAAGATTCTGAACTTGATAAGTATCGGTATGGGTATTTCTGGATTTTGAGTAACTCTGTATTTTCACAAGAAAATTTCAGTGTGATGAAAACAAGTCTAAACTGGTTGGTTGATTGTTGCAGTGTCATTGTCATGGATGAAGCACACGAGAGATCATTAAGCACAGATGTGTTGTTTGGGATTCTGAAGAAGGTGGTTGCCCAGCGTCGTGACTTCAAGCTCATTGTGACTTCTGCAACTCTAAACGCTCAAAAGTTTTCAAATTTCTTTGGGAGGTAACTTAAATGGCTTTTACTATCAAAATGTTAGTCGTGTTGAGGTTGTTTTTCATTTTTCATGTGTTGTTTTAGAACATAATCCATAACTAGAAGCTTCTCTGTTCTAACACTATTCTAATTACAGCAAAATAGAGTCACCATGTCTTGCTTCCATTTAAATAACATAACTGTTTTCTGAATGTGTTGCAGTGTACCTATTTTCCATATCCCTGGGAGAACATTTCCAGTAAATACCCTGTACAGTAAAAGTCCTTGTGAAGATTATGTTGAAGGTGCAGTGAAGCAGGCCATGACCATCCACATCACCAGTCCTCCTGGCGACATTCTCATTTTCATGACTGGCCAAGATGAGATTGAAGCAGCCTGTCATGCTCTTGCGGAGCGCATGGAACAGCTTATCTCCTCCACCAAGAAAGCAGTGCCTAAACTGTTAATACTACCCATATACTCCCAACTTCCAGCTGATTTACAAGCAAAGATATTCCAAAAAGCTGAAGACGGGGCTCGCAAATGCATTGTTGCCACCAACATTGCTGAGACTTCTTTGACTGTAGATGGAATTTTTTATGTCATTGACACAGGTTATGGCAAAATGAAAGTTTACAACCCAAAGATGGGTATGGATGCGCTCCAAGTTTTTCCTGTCAGCCGTGCTGCTGCAGATCAGCGTGCTGGACGTGCTGGTAGAACTGGTCCTGGCACATGTTATAGGCTTTATACAGAAAGCGCTTACCTAAATGAAATGCTTCCCAGTCCAGTTCCTGAGATCCAGCGGACCAACCTTGGCAATGTGGTTTTGTTGCTCAAGTCGCTTAAAATTGAAAATCTGCTGGACTTTGATTTTATGGACCCACCACCACAGGACAACATCCTTAATTCTATGTACCAGTTGTGGGTCTTGGGTGCTCTAAACAATGTTGGTGCCCTTACTGGTCTTGGCTGGAAAATGGTGGAGTTCCCATTGGATCCTCCACTGGCTAAGATGCTCTTGATGGGTGAACAGCTAGAATGTTTAAATGAGGTTTTGACAATTGTGTCGATGCTGTCAGTGCCATCAGTGTTTTTCCGGCCCAAGGATAGAGTGGAGGAGAGCGATGCTGCAAGAGAAAAGTTCTTCGTCCCAGAGTCTGACCACTTAACTCTTCTTAATGTTTACTTGCAGTGGAAAGAGCACCAGTATCGGGGAGATTGGTGTAATGATCATTTTTTGCATGTCAAAGGATTAAGAAAGGCTAGAGAGGTTAGATCCCAGCTGCTAGATATTCTCAAGACATTAAAAATTCCGCTAACATCTTGTGGGTATGATTGGGACATAGTACGAAAAGCCATTTGTTCTGCATATTTCCACAATTCGGCAAGATTAAAGGGTGTTGGGGAGTATGTTAATTGCCGGAATGGAATGCCTTGTCATTTACATCCAAGCAGTGCTCTTTATGGTTTAGGTTATACTCCAGATTATGTAGTTTATCATGAATTGATTTTGACAACGAAGGAGTACATGCAGTGCGCCACTGCAGTGGAGCCCCAGTGGCTGGCAGAGTTGGGACCCATGTTTTTCTCTGTGAAAGATTCAGATACATCAATGTTGGAGCACAAGAGAAAACAGAAAGAAGAAAAAACAGCAATGGAAGAGGAAATGGAGAATTTGAGGAAGGTGCAAGCTGAGACCGAGAGAGACAGCAAGGAGAAGGAAAGAGAGCGGAGGACAAAGCAGCAGCAACAAGTCTCAATGCCTGGGTTGAAGAAAGGCTCTTCCACTTACTTGAGACCAAAGAAGATTGGTTTGTAAATGTAAATTATTCTGTACTAAAGTGTTACTGACTCGTGGCAGAAAATAGCAGTCTTATACAAGAGAGAACCTTTTACCCCTCTCAATTGCTGTAAAAAGAACAACGAAATTAGAGTTGATTCTACGACCATACACGGAGTTCTTGGTCATTGATGTTAATAACGTTTCTTGACGGCATCGGAATGATATGATGTCAGTGCCTAAAAGTCTTAAAATGGTGATATCTTTATATTCTAAGAACTAAATCTGTACATTTTGCTAGGTTCCTCGATTCGAAGCTGCAAATGAAACTGCGAGCTTGAACAGGTATATTAGCGTACTATCTATGGTCAAGCTAGCAGACAAAGAAGCATTTTGCACGGTACATAGCGAGGAAAGTTTCAGTGATGACATATATTGGAACTTGGAAGGCCATTCTCTGCCTGATGACTTGATTTAGGTACCAAGTAGGGCAGCCATTTTCTGCTTGATCATATGCTTATGTAGATTAGTAGTTGGTATTAGCTACAGCTCTGCGTGTGCCGTTTAGCAGAAAAATCTCTTACTAACTTGTGATGGGCAGAGCCTAAGGTCAAAATTAACACAGCAGCTCATTACTAGCTCCTTTTCGCTGGTACGGCATGATAATGACGTTTTTGTAACTTAAATCGATTAGTTGGATTTAGTTACGAGGTTAAGTAGCGAATATATATGCTCAAAGGAGCTGATAGCTCCACTCCACCTGTTTATAACCGTATTCCACTATTTTTTTCCCTTTTTTTTTTTTTTGAGTTAAGTTCTGTTGATGAACAAAACAAATGAAGTAAATTATAAATTTGTCCTAGTTTTGAAAAAAGAAATAATAATAATTTTTTTTGTTTTAAAAACTGATAATTTAATTCTCTAAATTTTAATTTCGTCAATAATTTTTTTTTAATTTTTCTTTAAATTAGTAAAAAAAAAAATTCAAATTACCTTTTTTTATGCCTCCTTTTTCTTCATCCACTCTCTCTCTCCTCAATAAAAAAATAAAATTTAAACATAAAAATTACTAATCTAACATAAAACTAATGAAAAAACTAAATTATTAACAAAATTAAAACATGACACACTAATCTAAAAATATGAATGCTGATAAAGAGAATAAATTTTTACAAAATTAAAACATGAAGAACTAAATGATTAGCTTTCAAAAAAAAACTAATTAATTCATTTTTCTAACAGGAGGGACTAATTTATAATTTATTCTTAAAAAAAAAACCTAAACCGTTTTACCTAGAAACGTTGTCGATTTTCCTCGATTAGGTAACCTGGTGAAAGGGAAGGAATGCAACTTGGACGAAGAGAACGAGCACCTGAATCCCCAGGCCTCATACTACACTTGAGCCAAGGGTGTTCCACTCCCCCATATATCTTTCAAGCCTAAAACGTAATTCAATTTTACCACAGAAAAATTTAACGTTGTCCTTAATGGTATTGGACATAAAAATGCATAGAATGCCCAAATTGGCAATTCTACCAAATTTAATCCTTAAACCCAATGATGCCAACACAAAACATCAATTGATGAAAGGAAGTGGATCCTCATTTTTTTCCTATCATTAGGCAATCCAGAGTTATATTTCTAGACTGACTGCATACATGTTGATTATGACATTATTTCATACCTTCACCCTTGCATCTTCAAATTCACATAAGAAAAGCCAATGAGGCATACAAACAAAAACTGAATCGCTATCAAATTTGTAACTACTCTTTCATGGAAACTTGAAGCATTTGCTAAAATGGTAGCGTCGGCCACAGCAGTAAACCTCTCATAGTATTTCTTTAATTATGTGCTGCCACCAATGCCATGTGCTCAATCAGGTCCAGCACTCGGTTGCTGTTAAAAAAAACAGAGCAATATAAATTGTCACACATCATTACTTTAAAACGACCCACAATTTACATATCGTAGATACATGGCACCAGCCTGTTTGTGCTTACACAAGCCTCAGTAAAAGAGAGATGCTATACCTGTAACCCCACTCGTTGTCGTACCAAGAAACAAACTTCATGAAGGAAGCACTCAACCCAATCCCAGCTTTGGCATCAAATATGCTTGACCTGGAATGAAATAAGTACATTAGAATGCAAATGATGCAGAAGAATCAGGGAAGTTTTGGTTAGTTAGCTAAGTATGTGTGCTTTGGTCTTAGCTCATTCATTCTAGTTCACAATCAGCAGTTACATTTTTAGTTTTTAGATCATAACAATGAGACTAGAATGCAACTTCTAATATTTGAAGTACTAAGACGGTAAGGGGTAGTTAAGAGGTTCTTCTTCAGACCCTACAAGATTAGTTCAATTGTATTCCAGCTTCAATCTCATTTGAAGTTAGCTCTTTTCTGCTCTTTATTTGATGTCTTTTCTTCTGTCATTAAATCAGATCAACGCCACTAGAAGATCATATAAAAGATCAATTTGTAATTCTTAATTATTCACAGGTAAGTCTAGTTTCTATATAAGATAGACAAGGTGCAGGTCCTGGAAAGCCAGAGAAGGAAATATAGGCCAAAAAAAAAGGTAGCAGCGCAGTGGGTTGCCAATTAACCGGATCTGTCAAGTTTTCCAAGCGGCTTGAGTGTGGCATTATAAACTGTGTTGAAAAGTGCAATCAGTAAAAGGCATAAACCTAATGATTAAAACAAAAAAGATATTTTTAAAACAAAATGAGTTGACCTGAGGAACTTGAGTGGATCAGAAAAAACACCTTCCCTATTAATGTTTTTTATAGTTGTTTGAAAGTGAAGCAGCTCAACACAAACAGCGAGACAGATAAAGGAAGGGGAGATTTACCTTGAGTCACCAACAAAATCATTGGAGACAACATCTTCATCAGTATACCCAAGAATGCCCTTGAGTGGGCCCTCCGATGCATACCTTAATTTGAAAATCAGAATTGTAACTCAGTTATTGCCAGTAAACTATAACCAGCAAACCCTCTATCCTGGCCCAACCCCAAACCAAAATGCAGAAAAATATGCAAAGATCAGAAATAGAAGATATACTTAATAGCTGCCTTGACATCTTCATATGATGCACTCTTCTCAAGTCGACAAGTTAAGTCCACAACAGAGACATTAGGTGTTGGGACACGGAAGGCCATTCCAGTAAGTTTTCCGTTGAGTTCTGGAAGAACTTTTCCAACAGCCTACAATACCCATAAAAAAAAATGTTTGCATATGACTTCTTGCCAAACAATTAGCGTTGAACAAAGTCCTAAGTTCAATTATTCAATCTCATACCTTTGCAGCACCGGTGGAACTAGGAATGATATTTTGTGCAGCTCCTCTGCCCCCACGCCAATCCTTCATTGATGGACCATCTACAGTCTTTTGAGTTGCTGAACAACATGAGCCAAAAATACATTACACACCTATGCAAAGCAATATGCTGAACAAAAGTCCAGAGAATGCAAGCATATAAGAGACAGACCTGTGGTTGCATGGACGGTTGTCATTAAACCTTCAACAATACCAAATTCCTCATGAACAACCTGCAAAATGAGTTTATAGGAAATTAAGCCATATTAAAGAGATAAAGGAGTTCTTATAAATAGACAAACCAAAAAGAAAAAAACAATGGCTCAACTGATTGGGTTTGCAAAAGTGTTGTGTAAAAAAACATGGGGGCAAAACTACCCAGAGGTTTTCTTAGCAAGTGACTGTTGGAACAAAAAAAAAAAAAAAAAGTGTAATAAATATTGAAATTTCAGGATGAGATCAGACCTTAGCAAGAGGAGCAAGGCAATTGGTAGTGCAGCTTGCATTAGAAACAATGTCCATGTTGGGCTTGTATGTCTTCTCATTTACTCCAACCACAAACATTGGAGCATCAGCAGAGGGAGCTGATATGACCACTTTCTTGGCACCACCCTGCAGAGCAATGTCAAGAACAGCTCAACTTGCAGTGCATGAATCTCGATATAAACGAGAGACTGACAGAACAAACACTGGGAGAAACTTAAGGGTAATAACAGTTAATACCAACCTTCTTGTGAGCTGCAGCCTTCTCAACTGTAGTGAAAACACCAGATGATTCAACTACATACTCAGATCCAAAATCACCCCATGGAATCTCTGCAGGATTCCTGGATAGATGAGTTTAAATGTCAGAAGCTAACATTTGCAATAAAAAATCTATCATGATTCATATAACATTTGATTCAAGATGCTAAGATACAAGTTACAGTATGGCAACACATATTTCGTTTTCTATGCAGATATGAGTCTAAAACTAAAATCCAGAGTAGTACCTTTTGCTAGTAATTTTGATTTGTTTCCCATTGATTTCCAAGGTGGAATCATCCAAAACCTTGATGGTTCCATTGAAAACGCCATGAGTAGAATCATATTTTAACATGTAAGCCTGGATAATGCAAAGGAAAAAAGGAGTCAACTATAAACAATTCTTCTGCAAATTAAGGAAGTTTCCAGTAAAGGAGTTTCCCCTACACACCCATCCCCCTTTATCTCAAAATGCACCATATATCACATTATCAAATAGCTATAGATAGATCAATATACATCAACAGGCGTGCCTCTTTTCAGTCATCTTCATATTCTCCATTCATGAATACCATGGATACACAAAATCCTATAAATCTATATGATCGATTGTATCATAAATTTCTATTCAGTTTAATGAACTTGAGCTAATGTTAAGACTTGGGAACCACAAAGCTAGGGCAATGCCAAGGCATCCAAGATAAAAAAGCTGACATCATAGCCCTCTGCATAACCAAATTCCCACATAAATAAGCCCGCCAAAATGGAATATAATCAAATCAATATCACCCCAGAGCACAAGGACGATTATTATGTGATGTGAAGTTATCTCTATGGTGTTGGTGGCTTTTCAACTATGCTGCAGAACCATTGATTGACTCGAGAATCATGAAAGGAACTCGTGCATCAACAAATGCATGTGGCATTTGAGACAGTTTGTACAACTATTGTGAATGAAAATGGAAATGGAAGCCATCAGCAAGACAGAAAGCTTTTGTGTGAGGAGGCACTGTGAATTTGAGCAATATGCAAGTTCCTGATTCCATGCATTTATGTGAAGTTCACCAAAAAAAGATTGGAGTTTGATCCATTCTGGTTGAAATGCATAAAAGAAATTATGAATCGTACACCATCTTTTCATTTTTCAACGTAACTTCCAACATCATATAGCAACTCCATAAGCATTCCACAATATAAGACTTCCCCACAGTTTTTCTTTCCAGGACTTTGTATACTTAACATATTTTGACAAATTCACACGAATTTGCAGTAACAATATCATTGATTTTCATTAACAGTAGCATCTGAAAGATAACCCAGTACTTGTGGGTGTCTAGTAGTCAGTACTTGCAAATGCATATCAGTACAATATTTGTGAATTTATATTTTACACCACGTTCTGAACACAGTGGAAAAACAATAAAGCGAATCCCAACTTAAAGTGGTTTCAAGAAAATTATTCTGTTTCCAATAACAGCAGTGGTCTAATACCATAGTTCAATGACAACCTAACTCGTCATACATGTGCAAATGCATGTGAAAACAACCTATTTAAGAATTAACACTGCTTTGGTCTTTATTTTTCCTTCGTTAAAAAGGTGCTGGGATTTCAAGGCTCTTGAGTACCTGACCCACCCCTAAACACGTGCAGTGCACTAGTCCCACAGATACCGAACAGTTTCTGGGATAAATCCCAGGGATGGCCACTAAAAGGGTTCACAGTTGGGTTCACCCAGGAGGCTCTTATAATATAACAAATTATCATCACGTAAACAGCAATAAAATGACCTAAGAGCTACTAGCCCAGTGATAGTAGTCTCTTGCAACAAGAGGTCATGGGTTCAAATCCTCGCAAACTAGTTTTGCTAGGAGCCTTGGGTGTGTGAGTTTTTTTTTTTTAAAAAAAAGCCATAAAATGAGTCGCAAAGGAGGCTAATGTGCAAAACCAGCCATTCAACAATATCTTCAAAACTTAACTTGCAATAAAGAAATCTAATCACAGATCCTTTACCATGTACTTAGCATCAATGAAAGGATCGTTCACTGCCACCACATCAATATCATCTCTGAAAGTTGCTACTCGCAAAACCAATCTACCAATACGACCAAAACCTGTACCATTGTAGACTTCTATTAGCATTTGATATTTTTGTAGTGATGAGCCAAAGAATGTCTGCTATACTTCAAGATATACTGTAATCCATGCATCATCCATCAATAAATATGCAAAACAGAGCAAAAATTAAATTTGATTATGAGAAGACATACCATTGATTCCAATCTTTGTCTTTCCATCAGCCCGCGATTCTATTCCAAGTAAAAACAAATCAAACCGGCACATCAGTAAATAAAACTCCCAAGTTCGTTCGAACCCTAAATAAAAAGAAGAGAGGGAGAGAGAACACTAAATTCAAAGCAGTGGTTTCTTACTTAATATTGTGGGGGGCATTTCAGTAGCTGTGGCCTTGATGGGTTGGATGCTCCTTTCGCTGCATGTCCTGAATAGTTCAAAACGTTTCAGCATCAATTTGAAGAAAAGGCATGCTGGTGCGCATATATAATGTCAAAATCTTCAGTACTCAACTGTAAGGAAGAAGACCCTGTTGGAACTGAAGCACCAAAAATGCTCTTCGAAGAGTTAAAACTAACGCTTGAAACCTGAAAGTAAGTACAAAAGAGAAAAACATATATTGATTCATTCTTTATAAGAATTAGAATTTATTAAGAATAAATAAACTCAAGAATCAGAAATGAAAAGTCGAACAAGCTAAAGACACATAATAATTAGTATTTTAAATGATCTGATGTTAGCTCCCTTTCTTTTTCTTTTACAATTTCTTTCAAAAGATCAACAAATTTCCGTTTCACTTTCCTCTGTTTTCTCACCAACCAAACTTCGGCCACCAAAATAAAAAAAGATGAAAAAAACATAAACTGCTATCTATCTTATATCTCTCATTATTTTGCAGATTTAGATTCCTTTTACTTCGAAATAAAACGCTCCAATTAGGCAACTTCCATATTTATTTGTTTGTTTTTTTTTTTTTTTTTTTTTGATGAACGACAACTTCCGTATCAAATTTTAACCGTACTTTCATTTTTTTCTCTCGTTAACGAAAAACCAAAATCAAGCTTAAACAAAGTGTGAGGAACAGCGCTTGAAAAAGAAGGTAGTTATCAGAGAAAAAGGCACGGATACCTTGAATCGATCGGACGGCGAAGGAGAGAAGTCGGAGCGGGAAGCTTCAATAAGAGGAGCGGCGGGCGCAGATCTGAGAAGACTAGAGAAAGCCATTCACTGCTAACCTCTTCCTTGGAAAAAGAAAAACCCTACTACCAAACCAAGGTTTGGTTTGCGGCTTTTGAGAGGGAGCAGAGGACGAGGCAAATGACAGAAGAAAAATAAATTGTAGTTGTTGGTGGAGTTTGATGGGAATTTAAAAGCAAAACAAATGTGCTTTTTTTTCCAAAAAAAAAGAAGCCGAAATTTTAAGCGGAGTTTCTTATGGGGGACGTGCTTAGCTCATTTTTTTTCTGGATAAATTTTATAATACACAGGAGTTACCTTTCTTTCTTTTTTCTCCTCTCTCTCTTCAAAAAAACAAACTAACAGCGGGTGAGTTGTGGTAATGTATGAGCACGTACATTGTTTCTAGTGTGGGCTCTTTTCTTTTTCTTTTTTTCTTAATTTTGTATTTGTTGGTTAAATGGATATGTCAGTCGAAGGTTATTAAGCGAAACTGATTTAAATTGCAAGTTTTATTTTGGAAACATTTTTTTTTGTTCGATGCACGAGTTGTGTTTTTAAATTACTTTTGTACATTTATAGATATGGTGATGTCTTTGGTTAGCAAATTAGATTAAAGAAAAAATATAGTTTTTCACTTTGTCTTATTGTATATACATCAAACACTATTATAAATGAAATTATTGTATCTATATATTTTTTTTCTTCAGTTCAGGTATGAGCTGATATATTGATCTATTTTTTAAAAACAAATCTTCTATATTCCGAGTAAAAATTCATGAGAATGTATTGGTATACTCTTATTCCTAATAAAATAATTTTATGCATTGAAAATATTTTTTTGAAATAATCTAAATAATGCTCAAAAGGAATCAAATTAAAATTTTAAATATTAATGAGTACTTTTTTCGAAACAAATCTCTAAAAAATCACACATTCCTTACTATTACTTCACATTGCAATAGGAAAAAAACAAAAAATGCCTCAATTTCTTCATTATGACATTAAAAATAACATTCGATAAGTAGATTTTAGTTCATGAACATGATATCATTCATTCAAATATCATAATGATTATTTGTCAACTTTTTATTTAAACAAATGACGTCCAATGAAAATTGTATAAATTCTAATAATTAAGAATTTGAAACTCAAATTAATATAGGATCACATCAAGACAAATGAAAAAAAATAAAACAAAATAAAAGAACAAATAAATCCACTTTTAAAAAAATATGACTAATGAGTTTTGTAATACTTTTAAACAACAAAAAGCTTTCAAAGTTTTCTTTCATAAAAGTCCATGTTTAATAAATTTCTTACCATAACGAGTTAATAGATTTGAAAATTTTCTATTTGTGTTTTTTCTATAAAAAGCAATAACAGATTTCAGTATGTACTTTTTTTAAATCGTGAAAAAAAAAATAGTATAGACAATACAACTAAGCATGAATTTCTTACAAAGAGATATCGTAAAAACGGATTTACTGGACTTTAAAAGAAAGGATGCGATCTTCAAAAAAAATAAAAATTGTATATATATATATATATATATATATATATATATATATATATATATATATATATATGTACATTCACTTTTTTCAACAAATAATAACAATTACGATGAGCATAAGTATAGACGATATTGAGCGTAATTTTTTTCCTTCTGGAAAGCCAGAATTTCGAAGGGCATATTTAATTTACGTGGATTTTTTTTTCTTTCCAATCATGGCTGCTTCTAGGTCTAGTTCTTTTGGTGTTTTGACATATTCGAAAAATAAGGAAAATAAAAAGAGAAACCGGAGAGAAAAACAGAGCTCAGAATTAGTTTGTGAAATTGTTTGTACAGAAATGGTGCCAGAACTATCTGTACCGGAATTCAACTGTGTGAATCACGTAGACGAGTTTGTCGTGTAGTTTCGGAGCTGAGAAACCCTGGCCATGTCCTTGAAAGCCACGTCAGCCAGTCTGGGCCAGTTCTATGAAATTTTTTTATCTTCTCCCATTATAAGATTTTTCATCTGGGGCCGACCAGGTCGGTCTGGTTCCTCCACGTTTGCTGCGCTTTCTTCCCTACCGTTAGTGAAGTTAACAAGGAAAAATGACTAATGGCAGGCTAAAAAGTTCTAACCATCTCTTAATCGGAAGTTATTTGAAATTGAGTTTTGAATGTTTTTATTGGAGCACCAGAACCATAAATTTTTAATTTTTTTAAGATTAAACTTCATTTTTAGTTTTTTATCATTCGTTTTAAAAAATAATAATTACATAAATAGTTTTATGATGAAATTTTTTGAATGAGATTTATACGGGTATCCTAAAAAAATTGAATCATTTCAAAATTATTTTCTATTTTTTTATTTTTTAAAAAATAAGTAAATATAATTTTCTATAAAATGGATTTGAGATTTTTCAACACGTGTAAAAAAATTTAGTTCAAAATATCAAAAATTAATTTTTTTTTTATAAGAGAAAATGATAGCTGAAAAATTAAGTGGACTTAATTTTAAAACTTCTAACTAATAAAAAAATTATAAAATTCAATTTCAAATAATTTATAATTCAGAAATGATGAGACTCTTTTAGTTGTTTTTTAAGCAATCAACTAATAGATTTTTTATTTGAAAAAAATGGAGTTGGCTGAATATTTTATTGTAATCTGGTTATCTGATACTGTCTGTAACTCTGTGGGCGTATTTGAGGAAAATCTTTATTTCACGAGAAGAAAATTTTATTTTGACATATTCCGGAGCTCACTCGACGATAAAAACGTAATAAGCCTTGAAATTTGAGGAGTCAACGATTGTTGGTTGGTGGTGCAGTGAGTTTGGTTGTTGAGGAAAGGAGGATGTAAATGGACAGGTCATAAAGACCCTGGTTGGAAAAAATGGAGGTATGTACACCGGGGAAAAAAGAAAAAAAAATTGAATACAATTAATTATAAAATTTATATAAGCATGTGCACTAAATGTTTTACTTTTATCTATTATTGAAAGAAGGGTATGGTTTGTTAAACTTGACTCTAATTTGCATGGGCCATTCACAGTCCCCGGAACCTAAGGGTGGCGCTACCTTGTAGTCCGAGGGCACATGCCACCCTCCGGGATTTTTTTGAAAAGTAAAATTCCTTCATTCGATTAGGCTCTTTCAATTTATTTTTATTTTTACCCTGCATGTTTTTACGTTGACCCTCCATTTTCACTCTTGCTTCAACATTGGCTCCACCTATTCTCAAAGGTTTAATTGGGTTGGTCAATGGATATGCTCCCTGTGTCGTGATTCATGATTTGAGTAGTATAAAAAGTGCGCAAAAATAATTATTGTGAATATATCAGCCATGATGTAAATATATTGCTTAAAAATCTGTCGTAGGAATAAATACTTAGTTTCGATCAAAAGAAAATAAATCGAAGATACCTTTACCGTTAAGAAAAGCTCTCCCTCTCAATTTCTGTCCAACAATAATTTATGATCCTAAAATTGCAAACAATAAATCATATTCAGTGCAAAAGAGAGTGTGCATGCATCACTCTTGTTGGGTAACAATTTCTATAGTTAAAAGACATCATGATTACAGTGATTTTAAGTTAAAAACTTATTTTTTTGTATCTTTATAATTTATTTTATCAAGCAATAATTTAAAATTATTCGGAGAAGAATTTAGTTTTGATTGACTTCTAACTTAGTCTGAAAATACCCTTCTTCTAGTTTTTTTTTTTTTTTAAAAAAAAACCTTATGATTGTACGCGGTATTTGTACTATAGTACCATTGCAATGCATATATTTTAGCACCGGTAAGATGCTAATCTCACCGTAACTTTTGCTATTTTATTCCAGCGGTCCAATGATCCCAGTAGCCACCGGTATCCTATATACGCTCCCCATTATTTTTCCATGCAAATGGAATCACTAGATCCTCCAATTGTTCGTTTTGCTATAACCGACTAAGGCTGCTCGGAAAGACCTGCTAATCCAAGAGTCAAGGAGCATGTACTGACTCCCAATTATTGTGATTAAATAGACTAAAGACATCCTGTCTTGTTTTGGCAGATAAAGATTGACGCATTTGGCAAATCAAATCCAATTTGGCTTATGCTAAGGTGCAATCTTAACTGCATTAATTTGGACAATTCTTGATTTGATGCACTTTGCGCGTGGGGCTCACCCGCTCGTGAAGCACCCGGTCTAAACTTGTGCAAACACGGTTGTATTAAATATTCTTTAGCTAATTTATAAATAACCAGTCTCTATGCATATTGTAATCGTCAAGTGCTAAGCCAGTTTTACATTGTCATTTGACAACAATGAGAAGGCATCTCGAGTTGAATAAATGGGTTTTTTTTTTTTTTTTTTAAAAAAATTATGTCGGAGGCACGCACAACATCAATAAAAAAAATGCTTTAATTTTCATAGTGAAAATACAATTTATATCAAAATATCTGGTATTGTTGGGAAATATTTTTCTTTACTTTTTTTGTTTTTTTAAGAATGGCTATTTAGGAACTTAACGAAATGTATAGATCCGAACCGCATGAGGTTCTTTTGGGGTTTGGGGGGTGGTCGTTTGATTCGAAGTGGGGACGGATGAGACTATAAATAGGATTCAGGAAGAGAGCAACGTGAAGCCAAAGCATGAATTGTCCCTGTCCCTTCTCCATTTTCATAGGAGAGAGTGTGCCCGTCTGGACGTGGTGGTTGGGATCCTTTCATCGCGTGGTCCTCACAAAAAAACACAACGCAGATCTATTCACCTTTTCTTTCTTTAGACTATGACAGCTTTATTCATTTTCACAACAAAAGGTCTATGCTGCCCCGCAGGCCTTTGCATTGCCTTCGTTACTCTGGAATATGACATGTTTCTTGTCTGTATATTTTCCCTGCATTTATTAAAGTAATTGTCTCAGAATTTTAAAGCATCTTGAACCTATAGTTTAAGTTTAAAGTAAGATTTTTGGGAACAACATTTTAGTCCTTACGTATGGTTTCCTTGATTAAAATTTTGTGATTTGTGAACGTGTAACAGCCTATTGGTGTTCCAGTTGACT